TCGCATACTGCACTGTGCTGCTGCTTTGCCGGGACGTTTGAAAGCTACCATGTGAGAGTGACTTTTTAAAAAACGTTGGTTAATCCGTTTTGTGACATATTGAAAGGAGCCTCTTCATGGAAACAAAAGAAAACAATTATTTCATAAACATTTCTGTTCGTATATGCACTTAGGATACGGTTCACGTTTAGCCTACTTCTACCTGAGGGTACCTTGAATTGATTATTGTACATTTGTTTGTAAACAATTTGGTGATTTAACTCCTGCATTTGTGGAACCTTAATGGGACAAGTAATCACTTTCAGCTGCTTTGCGTGATAGGATAAATCCTAAGGCATGTGCAATATATCACAGCCGCAGGCTTATCAAGACCCTTTCAAATCTCCCGCAGTTAAAATCACATCACTATACCGAGGGTCATAACAAAGCCATAACATTTACAGTACAACAGTAGATGTGATTACACTCATCCCTGGCCACACAGGTAGTCCGCCTAGATGCAGCTAGTCTTGATGCAGCTTGAGGCATGATGCTTATTATAATCTGGTACTGTCGATCTCATTTACATTCGCCCCTGTGGTATTAATGCATTTACCAGACCAGGATGTCCAGATCGATCAGGAGCCGGGGCAGTGGGGGCACACACTTGGCCTGATGCCCATCCCTAACCCAGGCACATTGACCTGGATGATGGCTCCATGATACCGGCCTCATTGGAGCACGCCTCAGTAATCTAGAGGAACAGGTTGCTGTGGTTACCCAGCTCAGACTGGGTTGATGAGCTGATGGGCTTATGCCTCAACACAGCAGGCATGGAGAGCTTCCCTCCTGTAGGTTTTCACACCAACCCCGGTTGTAACTAACTTGATTCAGCTCATCAACCAGCTAATTATTAGAATCAGGTGCGCTATATTAGGGTTGGAGCGAAAACCTACAGGACGGTAGCTCTCCAGCACAGGGTTGGAGAGCCCTGTTCTATTGTCTAGGAGGGAGAGGTCTTTCTGTCTCTCTCTTTCTCTCCCCACCCCTTCTCTGTCACTGATGTACACACATTCTCTCCCTCTCTATCTGTGAGGCATAGCAGGAGGTAGTCTCTTTGACTCTTATCTGTGATGTGGAGAATGGCGGGATGCAGCGGGCGGGAGGCAGCAGCAGTGAGAGAACAGCCAGGGGGATATAAACAGAGGGGGTGCTATAAATAGCCCAGTACTCTTCCTGTCCCGCGTCATATACACTACATGACCAAAAGTATGTGGACACCTGTTCGTCGAACATCTCATTCCAAAATCATGGGCATTAATATGGAGTTGGTCCCTCCTTTGCTGCTTTAACAGCCTCCACTCTTCTGGGAAGGCTTTCCACTAGACGTTGGAACATTGCTGCGGGGACTTGCTTCCATTCAGCCGCAAGAGCATTAGTGACGTCGGGCACTGATGTTGGGCAATTAGGCCTGGCTCGCAGTCGGCATTCCAATTCATCCCAAAGGTGTTCGATGGGGTTGAGGTCAGGGCTCTGTGCAGGCCAGTCAAGTTCTTCCACACCGATCTCGACAAGCCATTTCTGTATGGACCTCGCTTTGTGCACGGCGGCATTGCCATGCTGAAACAGGAAAGGGCCTTCCCCAAACTGTTGCCACAAAGTTGGAAGCACAGAATCGTCTAGAATGTCATTGTATGCTGTAGCATTAAGATTTCCCTTCACTGGAACTAAGGGGCCTAGCCCGAACCATGAAAAACAGCCCCAGACCATTATTCCTCCTCCACCAAACTTTACAGTTGGCACTATGCATTCGGGCAGGTAGCGTTCTCCTGGCATCCGCCAAACCCAGATTTGTCCGTCAGACTGCCAGATGGTGAAGCGTGATTCATCATTCCAGAGAACGCGTTTCCTCTGCTCCAGAGTCTAATGGCGGCGAGCTTTACACCACTCCAGTCGACGCTTGGCATTGCGCATGGTGATCTTAGGCTTGTGTGCAGCTGCTCGGCCATGGAAACCCATTTCATGAAGCTCCAGACGAACAGTTCTTGTGCTGACGTTGCTTCCAGAGGCAGTTTGGAACTCTGTAGTGAGTGTTGCAACCAAGGACAGACGATTTTTACGCGCTTCAGCACTCGGCGGTCCCGTTCTGTGAACTTGTGTGGCCTACCACTTCGCGACTGATCCGTTGTTGCTCCTAGACGTTTCCACGTAACAATAACAGCACTTACAGTTGACCGGGGCAGCTCTGGCAGGGCAGAAATTTGATGAACTGACTTGTTGGAAAGGTGGCATCCTATGACGGTGCCACATTGAAAGTCACTGAGCTCTTCAGTAAGGCCATTTTACTGCCAATATTTGTCTATGGAGATTGCAGGCTGTTTGCTCGATTGTATACACCTGTCAGCAACGGGTATGGCTGAAATAGCCAAATCTGCTAATTTGAAGGCGTGTCCACATACTTTTGTGTATATAGTGTAGCTAGCTACCCACTAATCTCCCACAGAGTAGAGTAGATCCCCAGTTCCACCCTCCTCACCTGATTCTGGTTCCCCATGTTGTCCCAGCAGTGTTGCTGTTAAGGTAGTCAGATGTTATGCACACTATCCAGGTGTGAACATCTATACATGAACATTCATTGAAGTGTCCAGTGTTAACACCACTGTAGCAGTCTGTGGTATTTGGTTAAATGTAAATCAGCACTTTGGATGGGGTTTTCCACCCCTCTTATCGCTTTGTCTCATTGAATGTTTAGTTGAAATATTAACACTGCTGCATTGATGACGAATTCCACGGAAGGGCCAATGAAAAAACTAAACCGAAAGTCTAAATATATATTATAAATATATATGTAAATATACCTGTCACATTTGCAGTCTATTCAAAGCGCCATACAAAAAGCCATATTGTAAGAGGCACAGCACAAGTACGCATATCAACATGGATGCACGTTTGTGTGGTAATGCTCTGTGGTTTAATGTTGGTTTGTATTTACAATTACATTTACATTTATGTCATTTAGCAGACGCTCTTATCCAGAGCGACTTACAAATTGGTGCATTCACCTTATGATAGCCAGTGGGACAACCACTTTACAATTATTATTTTTTTTTATTTTTTGAGTATATTTTTTATTATCATTTGGTTTTTATATATATTTTTTAATTAGTTGTTTTTATTTTGTATTTTTTTCACAAAACATTTTTTGTGGGGGTGGAAGGATTACTTTTATACTATCCCAGGTATTCCTTAAAGAGGTAGGGTTTCAAGTGTCTCAGGGAAGGTGGTCAGTGACTCCGCTGTCCTGGCGTCGTGGGGGAGCTTGTTCCACCATTGGGGTGCCAGAGCAGCGAACAGTTTTGACTGGGCTGAGCGGGAACTGTGCTTCCGCAGAGGTAGGGGGACCAGCAGGCCAGAGGTGGAAGAATGCAATGCCCTCGTTTGGGTGTAGGGACTGATCAGAGCCTGAAGGTAAGGAGGTGCCGTTCCCCTCACAGCTCCGTAGGCAAGCACCATGGTCTTGTAGCAGATGCGAGCTTCAACTGGAAGCCAGTGGAGTGTAAGGAGGAGCGGGGTGACGTGAGAGAACTTGGGAAGGTTGAACACCAGACGGGCTGCAGCGTTCTGGATGAGTTGTAGGGGTTTAATGGCACAGGCAGGGAGCCCAGCCAACAGCGAGTTGCAGTAATCCAGACGGGAGATGACAAGTGCCTGGATTAGGACCTGTGCCGCTTCCTGTGTAAGGTAGGGTCGTACTCTGCGAACGTTGTAGAGCATGAACCTACAGGATCGGGTCACCGCTTTGATGTTAGCGGAGAACGACAGGGTGTTGTCCAGGGTCACGCCAAGGTTCTTTGCACTCTGGGAGGAGGACACAACAGAGTTGTCAACCGTGATGACAATGAACCTATCCAGCTTTTGCCTGCACAATACAGTATGGTGTTTGCATTATAACAGCTTCAAACATTGACTCCAGTACAGTACAGTATGTATACTTCAATGATACAAAGCCCACCAGACCTCAGTTGTTATACAACCTGTCCCAGTCACATACAGTTATGTGTTATTCACAGTAACTCGAATCTCTTGCTGCATTCCTCCATTTTACTTGCTAGGTATTAGAGTGGTGGTACTGTAGGGGTTTTGTAACAGCTGATGCTGGATCAGTCTACGCTCTGTTAAGCCCGATCCATATCAGGCCATGGGAAGAGCCTGTGACTAATTCATCTACCAGGGATGGAGTGCATAATACAGATGGGAATGTGTGTGTGGGGGAGTGTGTAGGCCTATGTGTATTTATGTTACGTGTGTGTATGGTATTGTGTATGTTTATTTTCGGATGCATTGTATTTCAAATTGATTTGGACTCGCCATCGTGACAGTGTTGTGCCATAGAAAACCCAATGCTTTTAAGCAGTTCTCAACGATACATCTTTTGAGTTATCGCACAGCATGCACTCACTGTGACGCACGTACATATTTGAGAGGATGTAGGAATAGAAAGGCTAACATGAATGCGTTGAGCTTATTTCTATGGTAACCAATCTATTTCCGTAACCTTTTTATCTATCTGTCAATCAAACAGTCAGTATTTAACTCTTCATAGAGTTAGTATGCAGAGCAGGGTGGGAAAGGAAATGATCAATCTAAAGGACTTGAGACCTTGTGTTGTATTTAGAGTGTATCTTAGCCATAGAGTTGATGCAGTGACACTGAGCTAGAAGTTTAATCATAGTCACCTCAGGGGTTTGCTAAATGTATCTGTTGGTTACCATACAGTATTATGGTATTGGTATATATTGTGACTACCTAGGCATGATAATAAAAATGTCACTGTTTCTAGATGAAACCATTCAAGAACTGTACAGGAGTGTGATCTATTTATCATAGATAGCTGGGAAGTCAAAACGTGGCAAAGACAGTGTCTGTGGTTCTGTTTTGAAAGACTGTCGCATTTTCCCTGATCTATGATTTAAACGCTACTGTATATGAATGCAGCCACATACGCTTGAGGCCTCAGCCAGATGACCTTTGACCCTTTCTTCCAGAATGCTCAAGGGGTGGGCGTGGGGGTGGGAAACCCAGGCTGGGAATACACATTGAAGAGATGGTTCATATTAGAGCCAGAAACCCTGAGCGCCCCTCTTGTCCTCGTGTGCCTGATGGCCAAAATATTTTTCAGTATGTACTTCCATCATATTTGTTTAAAGACCCAGTGCAGTCAAAAACGTTGTTTGCCTGTGTTTTATATGTACAGTATTTCCACACTATGAGGTTGGAATAATACTGTGAAAATTATGATAATGCCCTTTTAGTGTAGGAGCTGTTTGAAAAGACAGCCTGAGATGTTTTGGTGGGATGGAGTTTTGACAGCACCAGGCATTCAATTAGTTAATAGACCAATAAGAAAGTGAGTTCCAAATCTCTCTGCCAATAGCTCGTTTTCAATTTTTCCATACCCACTCAGAACACTCCCAGATAGTCCTAGCAGAATTCTTGCTTGAGAAATTGCTCTGTGCTAAGAAGCTATTAATGTTTATTTTTGACATTTTAATTGAAAACAATCACATTAAGGTGCTTAATTGTTACCCAGAAATGATTTGATATTGAGATAAAAATGGCTGCATTGGACCTTTTAAATATATGAATCTGACAGCGACAGTACACAGTCAGGGGACATCAAGTTAATAGGCCTCGATCCTGTTCACTCATGGTGAACTAAATCTCTCCATACAATAGAGAGATTTAGTCCATTTCATAATTAACAAATACAGTGTCTCTCTGCATATAGATGTATGTGTAAAAACCCTACTATGAGTTACCAATCATTTACCGTATAAAACATTTTGTATGTCCGCTTTACATACTGTAGCTGTAAGACCTGTGGATGAATCCCTGCGGTTAAAGCAAATGTTTGAATCACCTGAGACTGAAGGTGATCATTTTTCTCACTAGGTCTTCTCTCATGTCTCTCTTCAAGCTGCGTTACAGATGGACTAATGAGGCTTGTGTGGCGGAAACAATATCCACTCCGCTTGGTCCATTTATCCCCAGCCTTGGCTGTGCTGCTCTCCCCATCCACATCCCTCCTCACCCCACCCACTCTCTTATCCATTTTTACTATGTCTAATGAATAGAATAAGAGATGAGAAGGATCAAAGGCTCCTTTGGCAGGTTCTAGGAATCCATTCAGATTGAAATTAAGAGAGTGTTTATTTTTTTCAACATCTCTCCTCCACAACCAGCCTTAATCACAAGAGAGGTAGAGAGAAGGAATATCTGTGACATGTATAGTAGTTCAAAGGAAAATAAGCATTTCCATGCACTATACATGTGACTCACTGAATGGTTCATCCTCAACACTTCATTGACAGGGGCCTAGGATCTATCTGTCATAAATACTTCACCTATCTTCTTAATTTGTTGTTCGCATTAGCTGCTTGGCACAGGATGTGAGAAGACGTTGGTCCTTGATGTTGGTGCTTGTCTTCAGCTTGAATCAATGCATTGACAGGCTAATGCTGCTGAGCCCCTCTGCTACCTACACATTTCACTTCCTGTGAAGAGTATCTGTATTAGTCTGTATGTAATCAGAGAAGGAGGCTCTGGGTGATTATGATGGTCTGAGATCAGTAAAACAGCAGCTTTGGATCCTCTGGAGGTTGCCTGAGCCTTGGCCTACTTCTCTACATCTCAACTGTGTAGACAATGGTTCAGATTGTGATATCAGTGGAAAGATGATCAGAACAATGATTTCCTTTATGAAGTTGATATCCACCTTTCCCTTTCATTGTTGGCAGAGGGAAATGCCTTGTTGGGGTCACTAAATAATGACGCATTCTTTGGTTCTGTCATGTGGCGTATCTGATGAGGTGATTGAACAGAATATTAAAGGCAGTTGCTAAATATATCCTCTGGCTTTGTGCTGTAGTGGCGTCACAATGGCTATCGTGTGATAGGTGACCTGGACTCGGCTCTACTTTCACCAGACAGAACACTACCGAGGTATAGTGTTACAGGTGGTGAGTTATTGAATCGGGGCAGCTGGGCACGTTGCTTGTACTGTAGAATGGAACTGTTATCGCTCTAGATGCGTTGACTAATGTCCCTTTGTAAGCAGATTCAGTTACTGACAGTATCACTAGTCAGCCAATTGAGGTTTCTCTTTGAGCATCGAGGCCCAGATTAGTCTCGTGTACGTTTACCTTCTCTGGCAGCAGTGTATGAGTTCAGACATTTCACTTTCAACTTTTCCACACGGGGGTAAAAAGAACAGTACTGCATCCCTATTGATGAGAGTTTGATAGTGGCTTGTGTACAGTATTGAAGGTTTTGCTGACAGACTGATTTTTGTACCAACAGCCACTGCAGAGGGACAGTGAAAAAGGGGACCCACAAGCTGTGGGTTGTCATGGACAACCTTTTTCCGCCGGCACTTTAGACTGAAAGGGGCAGAGCAATGCCAACACAGACGGCCTGGCGTGGCAGTGCCCACAAGCAAGGCTCGCCGGCGCTCCAGTGTAGGACTGCCCTCTGCTGGCCTGGTCCAACGTAGACGCTCTAGTGTGGGACTGCCATTCACAGGTCCTGTCGGACGCAGAAGGTCCAGTGTAGGCCTGTCGCCGACGGCTCAAGCCCAACGAAGACGCTCCAGTGTTGGCCTGCCGTCTGGTTATGTGGGACGTAGACGCTCCAGTGTGGGCTTGGCCTGCGCTGCTCACAAGCAACGCAGGCGCTCCAGCGAGGTGCAGGGGTTACCCCAGGTTACCGGGGGGCACTGTTGTCATGGAGGCGGGCCAGCTAGTGAGGACCAGATACTACAACAGGCGTCGCTCCAGCACCACCGTGGCCTGTGTCAACCCTCGCTTCTCTGTCCGCCGCCGGCCAAGCCGCCAAGCTCCGCACCATCGACACCCACCTGCTGGGGCCCTCCATGCTGCTGGCCAGCCTGGTCCAGATGAGTGAGGAGCAGCAGAGGGGGGCGCAGGGCGGAGAGGGGGGACAGCTGCAGGCACTGAGAGCTGCTCCGAGTCAGAGGGGGACAGCTGCAGTCCGAGAGACTGTAGCACCAGGTCGGAGGGCAGCGGGAGTGAACAAGAGGGGACTGAGACATCGTCATCATCATCATCATCATATCCAGAGGGAGAGAGGACGTCTCCATGGCAGGACTGGAATCCGGTTCATAGTATGGCAGCCTTGACGATGGAGAGCATCCAGCCCCGGCCCCTGATCCGTGCCCCTCGCTGCCTGCGCCGTAACTCCTCCCACCTGCTGCCAGCGGAGGCGGTGCACCGTAGCAGGGCGGCCTACGGTGTGCACGGGCGCTACCGGCGCTCCAGCCTGTTACGGAGGCCCTCCACCATCTCCAACAGTGCCTTGCCAGGCAGGCTAGTCCCCCCACCCAGACGCAGAGCTCTATAGTGGCCCGCCACTTCTCCCCTTCCCTGTATAGGAACTGTTCCGCCTGCTGGAAACCCAGGGGCCGCAGGGAGTCCCTCAGCCCCCTGCAGGGCACCTACTACGACCCCCGCCTGGAGACTTGGAGTGGGTTCCTCTCGTATGTAGATCCCCCCTACCTTTGCCTGGGGCACAGGCAATGCTTTTGTGAGCTTGTTAGTGTGTGTATTAGGGAGGTGGGGGGGGGGCTTCTATGGCAGAATACACACAGAAAATGTCTGTATACACAGCGCATGTTTTAGACCACACTATTTGTTTTATCCGGACAATAGAAGGGGGATATGCATGCCAAAGTCACTGGCCATTCCTGCCCGTCCAACCATACCAGCACTTCCTGGTCTGAAGTGTTGATGTCAGTTAAGCAAGTGTTTGTGTCTACACCAAACTCTGCTGACCTTTTGTGTTGCTGACATGTAAGCTAGGATTTTTGTTGAGTGACTCCTACAGCACCTTTCATGCAGGGTCTCAGTCACACAAACCTGTCAAATACCCACCTAGACCTCTTCTGTACCTGGCTGCACATCAGCTCAACAGGGTCCTACCGGAAGGGAAGGACTAGCAACCACTTAAAATGCTGTGTGTTGTATGACGTCAGATGTACCATTCATTATTCATCATGTGTGCTAAACCTCTCTCTTTGATCATGGCCAACCTTTTTTCATCAGTGAAGAGTGGGTTTACCGTTAGGCACTTCAGTTTACGGGTGTTGCAGTATCCCACTGGGAGGGTCATCTCAATGATGTTATTGCAATCATTCAAAGGTATTGTGTCTGTGTCATTTCAGGAAGGCCATCGCTAAATCGGGTCTACAGCACCTGTCTGCCCAGCCCAGTGCCTCAGCCCTGGCCAAGTTTGACCCAGACAGGGAGATCCGGAGCAGCTGTGACTGGACCGTAAGTGCAGCCTCTGGCCCAGCTTATTGATTTTTACCCCGTAATGGACTACATGCCCCTAATGAGTTTCAGAGTAGTGTACTTTGTTTACCCAGAGGTACTATACTGTTTGGTAGTGGATTCTATGAGCGAGCTGAGATTCCTATTTGTCAGGGTAAAAAAAAGGGTGTGTTTAATAGACTCCGCCTCTTCCTCCAGGAGAACGCCCTGTATGGGGAGCACATCTGGTTTGAGACCAATGTCTCTGGGGACTTCTGTTACGTCGGAGAGCAGCACTGCTTCGCCAAGACACTGGTGAGTGTGTTTGTGTGCAGCTACCCCTGGCCCTGCCTGACATTACAAAGCCACAGATGCTGTGACAGGAATGAGCCCAGAGGAAGGGAGGAGGAATGAACTCATTAGAGGAGATGTATTTGTAGTGAATCCCTAAACAAAAAGAGGGGGAGTATTAACTCCTTGTCACATTGTTTTTCATCTGTAAATGGATGATACTGTCCAGATTTATACCACCCGGTACCATTCAGTACAGTTCTAGAGAATGCAGATTGTATAGCTCAATAGCGCTCTGCAACTGTAAACATAACAGTATGAGAAATGGTGCCATGTTATGAACATAAACACTGTCTCTTCATTGTTTTGGAAAACTGATGGGATTATAAAAAGTGGGCAACTAGGAAGAGAACCTGTAAAACGAGCCCAATCTTTTGTATTTTTTCCTCCAGATGATGCAGATGTATTTTTTGATTGCATTATTTGTATGAGATTTAGTTCTGATATCCACAGTGTGACATTTTTGTATTTTTTTATGTAACGCTCTATACCAGGGGGTGTCAAACTCATTCCATAGTGTCTGCTAGTTTCTGGTTTTTCCGTTCAATTAAGACCTAGACAACCAGGTGAGGGGAGTTCCTTACTAATTAGTGACCTTAATTCATCAATCAAGTACAAGAGAGGATTGAAAACCTGCAGACACTCGACCAACCGTGGAACGAGTTTGACACCTGTGTTATATACTGTACATGCTAGATACAAGCGCTTAGAGCAGGGCTCTCCAACCCTGTTCCTGGAGAGATACCGTCCTGTAGGTTTTCACTCCAACCCTACTCTTTCACATCTGATTTAAATAATTAGCAGGTTGATTAGATTAATCAGAAGTTACATCTGGGGTTGGAGCGAAAACCTACAGGAGGGTAGCTCTCAGGAACAGAGTGGGAGAGCCGTGTCCAACCAATGTTTGTGTAGAGTAGGGTTTCCCAAAGTCGGTCCTGGTACCCCCCCCTTGCTGCACGTTTTGGGTTTTGCCCTAGCACTACACAGCTGATTCAAAGCTTGATGATGAGTTGGTTATTTGAATCAGCTGTGTAGTGCTAGGGCAAAAACCAAAACCTACACCCTGGGTGTTTGGGAAACCCTGGTGTAGAGCACGTGTCAAACTCATTCCACGGTTGGTCGAGTGTCTGCGTGTTTTCGCTCCACCCTTGTACTTGATTGATGAATTAAGGTCACTAATTAGTAAGGAACTCCCCTCACCTGGTTGTCTAGGTCTTAATTGAAAGGAAAAACCAAAAACACTCAGCCCTCCGTGGAATGAGTTTGGCAGCCCTTGTGTAGAGGCTCCCTCTGGTGTCCACAGAACCATAACACACTTCACCTAAGAAGTAGTGCTGCCATCTTGAGGGTGTTGCACCCATAGAGGTAGATGGAGGGCCCTTCTTTGCATCTGTGCCATATGGCTTCTGTGACAACATGGACAGCTCCATTGAGGGCTTTCTTCATTTTAAAGTAGTTAAGGGTGGATACTGCCACCTGGAGTGTGTTGTCTGCACAGGTATAAAACCAAGGTAGGTAATTTACTGCCACCTGCAGTTAAGGAATGTTTGCTCACGTGTATAATTCATTGGCTGATCCCTCCTGAGGACCTTGATGGAAATTAATTATTCCGTAAGCCCATAGGAAGTCCCACCAAGTTGACTTCTTCAAAATGGTGAAAGTCTTCAATGGCACTGCCCATGCTAAAACAGGCCTTTGGGGCACTAGAGCGGTCTATTTAAGTTTATGGTTGTACTATGAATTATCAAGTTAAAAGAAAGTCATTTAATTCAGGAAGTTTTCATGTATTACTACGATAAGGGTCATTAAATAATATTCTCTCACTCATCTCGTCACCACAGCAGAAATCTGTAGCCCGGAAAAAGTGTGCAGCCTGCAAGATAGTGGTTCACACAATCTGCATAGAGCAGCTAGAAAAGGTATGTTTCAAGCCATTTTCCCAACAAATGCTTCACAAACTTTTCTTCCAGTGAACTATGCTTTCACCTGGAAGCAGATAGATGTTAAATTATGTATTATCACCAAAGCTGTGGAAATTAGTTGAGAGCATGTATACCAAGACAAAATGAGTTGCAAATGTTGAATCCTGAAAATACCGTAATATCAGCCTTTTCAGATGTTGTCTCTCAAGGAGACAAAATGTTTCCATCACATCAGTTAAGATGAGATTTAAATGGTAGCCATGCCAACCTAACCCATCCTGCTCCTCTCCAGTTATTCGACACCGAGGCTATGCCCCATGAAGACAGCCTGCTTATCGAAGACCCCACCTTTAGAGTGAGACACTCAGACCTCTCTCAGGCTGCTATGGGATATAACTAGTGTTAGATCATACTCCTTCTCTAACCCTATCTCACTACGCTACCTGACCCATTGACCTGACCCTCCAATGCTGCACTCTGATTGGGTAATTCTCTGGATAATCAAAGTCGAATAGAGTCGGTCGCTCTTTCCTAGAGTTTTTTAGTTGCTGAATTTATTTGAATCTCCCTTTTCCAAAATGTCTTTAACTTGTACCCATTAACTCTGCTAATCTGAGGGTTTGTTCATATCTATTGTTTATACTTTATCTGATGCTGTTATGGTGGAGGTAAAGGTGAAGAGCTGGTTGTGTCACATAGTAACACATATTGCACCACAGGTTTCCCTTTTCAGTAAGTACTTATACTAGGTGAACAAGAACTTCAGCATGTTCAGTTTAACCTTAAACCTCTCCTATTGGCCCTTTTGGATTACTGATTCAGCATTCTATTTTGGTGCAGGGGTTTCTCTAACAACATATTGGAAACAACGACAAGGAAAAACAAAATAAATCAATGTTTGAAACAATTTCTTTGCTCTACCCCGTAGATAAACTTTAGGTGTAAACCGTCATTCAGGGAATCGGGGTCTAGGAATATACGAGAGGTAAGTGCCAATAAACGTTCATTTCCATTTGATCAGATGATCATCATACTCATACTCATACTTTATTTTCACCACTTTTTCATCCTCCTTTGCTTGTCTTGTCATTCTATGTGTCTGTCTTCTCTGTAACCCCTCCCTCTCCTCCTGTCCCTGCTTCCCTTTTGCCCTTTGACCTTCTCTCTTGACCTTTGACCTTAGCCAGTCCTCCAAAGACAAGGTGCTCTAAAGTGCCTCAGGCGGATGGCTAACTGCATGGCCACCCCTTTCCTGAGCCAGTCCCAGGTACCATCCCACCCTAACTCCCCAGATCACCCCAACCCAAAGCCACAGTTATGGGGGCAGTAGGAGAGTAATGCCTGACTAGTTTAATGATTATAAAGACCCCCAAGGCCTAGCTTTGGATGTCCAAGTTTAAATTCCCTCATCATGACATTTGCATTTTTACATTTTAGTCATTTAGCAGACGCTCTTATCCAGAGCGACTTACAATTAGTGCATTCATCTTAAGATAGCTGTTAGAGACAATGACATATCACAATCGTATCAAGTACATTTTCCCTCAACAAAGTATTTATCAGCAAAGTCAGTGCTGGTGGGACTTTTTTGGGGTGTTTTTTGGGGGGAGGAGGGGGTGTCGGAGGCGCCGTGAAAGTAGAGTGTGAGGAGGAGCAGGTGACATGGGAGAACTTAGGAAGGTTGAACACAAGGCGGGCTGGTTGCAGGGGTTTGATGGCAAAGCGGGGAGCCCAACCAACAGAGAGTTGCAGTAGTCTAGATGGGAGATGATAAGTGCCTGGATTAGGACCTGCGCTGCTTCCTGTTTGAGGAAAGGTCGTACTCTACGGATGTTGTAGAGCATAAACCTGCAGGAGCGAGTCACTGCTTTGATGTTTGCAGAGAATGACAGGGTGTTGTCCAGGGTCACGCCAAGGTTCTTTGCACTCTGGGAAGGGGATACTGGAGTTGTCAACCGTGATGGAGAGGTCTTGGAGTGGACAGGCCTTCCCCGGGAGGAAGAGCAGATCCGTTTTGTCGAGGTTGAGCTTGAGGTGGTGGGCCGACATCCAAGCTGAGATGTCTGCCAGGCACACAGAGATTCGTGTCACCACCTTGGTGTCAGAATGGGGGAAGGAGAAGAGAAGTTGAGTGTCATCCACATAGCAATGATAGGAGAGACCATGTGAGGATATGACGGAGCCGAGTGACTTGGTGTAAAGAGAAAAGAATAGAGGGCCTAGAACCGAGCCCTGGGGGACACCAGTAGTGAGATCACGTGGTGCAGACACAGATCCTCTTCACGCCACTTGGTAGGAGTGACCTGCCAGGTAGGATGCAATCCAGGAGTGTGCGGAGCTTGAGACGCCCAACCCTGAGAGGGTGGAGAGGAGGATCTGATGGTTCACGGTGTCGAATGCCGTGGATAGATCTAAGAGGATGAGAACAGAGGAGAGAGAGTCAGCTTTGGCAGAGTGGAGAGCCTCTGTGACACAGAGGAAAGCGGTCTCAGCTGAGTGAGCCGCCTTGAAGCCTGACTGGTTAGGGTCAAGAAGATTGTTCTGAGAGAGATAATGAGAGAATTGGTCAGAGACAGCATGCCCAAGTGTTTTGGAAAGAAAAAAAAGAAAGGATATTGGTCTGTAGTTTTTTACGTCAGGGGTCGAATGTTGGTTTCTTGAGGAGGTCGTCTTGAAGTCAGAGGGGACACAGCCAGTGGTCAGGGATGAGTTGATGAGGGAAGGGAGAAATGTCTCCAAAAATGGTCTGGAGAAGGGAGGAGGGGATGTTGTCGGGTTGCCGGACCTCACTAGTCGCAGGATTTCATCTGGAGAGAGCGGGGAGAAAGAGATCAAGGTGTATAGTAGTTGTGTATGTGGGACCAGTGGACTCAGTAGGTTGAATGAAAGAGGAGCGGATGTCATCAACCTTTTTTTCAAAGTGGTTGGCAAAGTCATCCGCAGAGAGGGAGTAGAGAGGTGGGGGATTAAGGAGGGAAGAGATAGTGGAGGAGAGTTTCCCAGGGTTGGAGGTGGAAGCTTGACATTTAGAGTGATAGAAAGCGGCTTTAGCAGTGGATACAAAGGAAGAGAAGGTAGAGAGGAGGGAGTGGAAGGATGATAGGTCCTTCAGAAGTTTAGTTTTCTTCCATTTCCACTCAGCTGCCCAAAGCCCTGTTCTGTTAGCATACCACACTTAGTCATTATTACCACAGAACTGGGTTTATTATTGTCCTATACACAATAATGTTCACTGTGTCTGTCCAAACCTCTGATATTGCTAATGAGAAACTAATAAACTCAACACAAGCTTTCCTTGATCTCACTCACCATTGTCTACATGTAATAAAAATAGGAAAACCACAGTATTTTAAATCGGGCAATTGTGAGTGAGTTGATTAATGTGTTTATGAACGTTGGTTTTCCAGCCAACCGTAGTGCGGCACCATTGGGTCCACAGGAGGCGCCAGGATGGGAAGTGTCGGCAGTGCGGGAAGGTGAGCATGGTTATAATATCAATTAATTAATTTCTTCCCTATATTGCCCTGTATTGCAGGATTAATGATCTGATGAAACATGTTATTCTTGAGGGTACATTACCTCTTAGATCTGATTCATTTCTCTACAGGGTTTCCAGCAGAAGTTTGCCTTTCATAGCAAAGAGATTGTGGCCATCAGCTGTTCGTGGTGTAAACAGGCAGTAAGTTGGAAGGTTGATTGTACTGTACAGGTGTAGGATCTTAATTTGACCAGTACTGTCGCAGCAACATAATCCTGCAGCAATGTCACCTTGTCTGAGAGAGATTTGCATGTTTATCCAAACTTCATGCCAGGGTAAGCCTACACGAAACACAGCCCTTATTTTAAGTGTTTCTAAAATCCCCTATGGGGAAAAATGAATGTTGGAAAAACGATTGGAACCATTTCCCTGTTTGACCGCTAGGTTTTATGGGTATTATGACACCTCCACTGTGGGGCTCTATTTGATAATTATATATGGTTGATGTTATGATTGTAAATTGGTCAATTGTAAATTCAGTCTGACTGTGAGAAACCAATAAAATCTGCTACTACTACTACTACTAATAATAATAATATTAGCTGGCCAAAATTAGGCTACATGAAAAGTGCAATACTGTGAATATAACTGTGTGCTATTGCCTGTTTTCAGGGAATTTATGTAAATCATGTAGCTCATCTGCATTTGGAATTTCTCAGCAACAAAAGAGTGATACAATTCTGATGTCTACCTCTGTATGGTCTTAGTGCTGTTGTGCCTCATAAACTATGGATGATAATGATGTGTGTATGTATGCTTATTTGAGACATTTGTGTCTGTGTTGAATGAAAACACTTCCAATGAGTATGGATGAATGTGATCACTGATATATTGTGTAAGTGTGTACAGTAGCTGTCTTCACCCTCTGTAATGGTGTATGTATGTTTATGTGAGACAGTTGTGTGAGGGTCTGCGTTGTGTTTTAAATGAATGATGTGTGTGATGTGTTGGTGTGTGACGTCACTGCTGCCATCCTTTCCTCTCTCCCTACTGTAGTATCACAACAAGGTGTCATGCTTCATGCTGCAGCAGATCGAGGAGCCCTGCTCCCTGGGTGCTCATGCCTCTGTCATCGTACCCCCTACCTGGATCATCCGGCTCCGCAGACCTCAGGTAAAAAAAATTACAAAAATGTGATGTTTTATTGTCACATAGACCGGATAGGTGCAGTAAAATGTGTTGTTTTACAGAGTCAGCCATAGTAGTACAGTGACCCTGGAGCAAATTAACGTTAAGTGCCTTGCTCAAGGGCACAGAGATTTTTTACCTTGTCGGCTCTGGTATTTGAACCAGCGACCTTTTGGTTACTGGCCCAACGCTCTAACCGCTACGCTACCTGCCGCCCCCACAATCACATACACTTCCAAGTATTCAAATATTCACTGCCACCATGTGAGTTTACAATGTACAATGGCATGCTTCCCCAAATACTTTGTGGTGCCATTGCACTGAGAAGCCAACAGAGGGTAGCAGTCATCCATTAGTTTGAGCTGTAAGCCATGCATTCAGCAGTTATGATAAATTACAGTGTATTATTTATAGTTGATCAAATGCTGTTCCTTATATAAATGGAATACCAATGTGCCATTTAATCCTCGTTTTATTCTTTCAGACCTCACTAAAGTCGAGTAAAAAGAAAAAACGGACCTCGTTTAAGCGCAAGTCCAGCAAAAAGGGATTAGAGGTGAGTTTGAATTGTTACATCATCCATCACAAATGTCCTTTCCTACCGTTTGTATTGTGAAGAGACGTACATAACTAAAACATCCTTTGTTGATTAGCCTGAGGGGCATCATTTCCATTATACTGCATCTGTTGTGCACTGTTCAATTGGTTTAACATTTAAATAAAAATACATGAAATAGTAGCTAAAAGGGCAATGTCAAACTGATGACAAGGTATTATCGATGTAGACAGTCTTCGCCCTTATCAAATCACTGCTGACACAACCCAGCCAGGGACATAGGATGTGCTTGTCAATACATACTTCCTGGCGACATCTAGTGTCCAATACCATGGCTTTAATGCATTTACATGACAAGTGCATGTACAGAAATAATTATCTCTCTTGTCTGGCCTTGTGTTGGTTAGCCAGCCCTCCAAAGACAAGGCGCTTTAAAGCGCCTCAGGCGGAGCCAGTCCAAGGTACCATCCCACCCCTAACTCTCCAGATCACCCCACCCCACAGCCACGGTTATGGAGACCGTATTGATCAATTCAACTGTGCACAGTGTTAGACAACTATATACTCTTTGGCTTACTATATCTCATAGAGAGTAGGAAGTATCAACGCAACATCAGCTCTATGCCATTTAATTTTAGTTAGTTACTTTGGCATAATGTTATATGAGTCTGACACGATAGTTTATAACAAACCATCAGTAAAAGCAGTAAGCGCTTAATGCTCTTCCCTTAGGAAACCAACACTGTACATCAGTCTCATCTTTCACCTCTCTAAATGCATCCCTTTATTTCCTCTGCTCTCTCCCTTCCTCTTTGTGCAGGAGGCGCGCTGGAAGCCCTTCATAGTTAGACCCATTCCCTCCCAGCTCATGAAGCCGCTGTTGGTGTTTGTCAACCCAAAGAGTGGGGGAAATCAGGTGAGCCGTGCTGTCTGTGCTGGAGCTGTCAGTGCAGGCCCAGTGGACCGAGGCCAACACCAGTCATAGGTGTAATCCTGACTGGTCTATAAGCCTTCTGTGAGATGAAACACTGTCTGCATCTTAAAGAGTCATTTCAGCAGTCCAGTCAGGGCATCTCATACCTCACACATTTGGCTGGATCACTCAATCATATACTAGTCAGTTAATCAAATACTTATTTATTATGATGATGATGAATTGGTAGTAATTGTACTCCTACTCATTTTCAGGGAGCCAAGATTATCCAGTCGTTCATGTGGTACCTCAACCCCCGCCAAGTATTTGACCTGAGTCTGGGAGGGCCCAAGGATGGGTAAGTTTTCCAAAATAGCAGGTGCAAACTTTGTACTAATTCAGACTTTTTACTGACTCTGGCCCTTAAAAATCAAAATCATCATAATATGTATAAGTCTTGGAGCTCCATTACTCTGTGCTCACTGACACAGAGCTTCTTCTCATTAGATCTAATATATCTGAACCAAAAGAAGTCGTTCTAATTCCAAGTATTATTTTGATTTTATATTTGTTCTTGCTATGGATACCCTGTGCTATTATTCAATCTGCCCAGGAGCCTTTTGGGGTGTAGGGCTCCCTTCACTGTGATCCTGCTGATTAACTGAGTGTGGGAGACCTTCATTAACAGGCTTGATACTGTGGACTGACTGTGACAGAAAACTAGATGTTGATTTTGTCTCTTGCTCTGTCTCTCCAAGGTTAGAAATGTACCGTAAGGTGCATAACCTGAGGATACTGGCATGCGGAGGTGATGGCACGGTGAGTAGAAACAGGCTTGTTGTACAACAGCAATGCCAAAGGTATTTTTAAGCAACACACAGACATTCCTGAACTATTTTAGCAGCAAACTTTACTTTGTGATCATTAAAATAACAGCACACAGTGTCTGGTGTTTGCCCTTAAAGGCATTTGACCCCATCTTAGTGATCTAAGCCCTGAACTTTGATGGTTATCTAAATGATTGAACAGCAACACACACTATGCTGCAGGTACAGTTTGTTAAGCTGTTCAAACATTTATTCCTCAAGTAAAGACAATAACAAAGTTGGGCATGGTGTTGAAGGCCACATCACATGATGTATTGATAACATGACTGTTGTATGGTCTGTGTGTAGGTGGGCTGGATCCTGTCTGCTCTGGACCAGCTCCAGCTGAACCCCCAGCCTGCAGTATCCATCCTGCCTCTGGGGACAGGCAACGACCTGGCCAGGACCCTCAACTGGGGTGGTGTGAGTATCTGGACAATATTTACACAGAGTGTACAAAACATTAGGAACAACCCCCCCCCCCCCCCCCCATTTTGCCCTCAGAACAGCCTCAATACGTCGGGGCATGGACTCTACAAGGTGTCGAAAGCGTTCCACAGGGATGCTGGCCCATGTTGACACCAATGCTTCCCACAGTTGTGTCAAGTTGGCTGGATGTCCTTTGGGTGGTGGACCATTCTTGATACACACCGGAAACTGTTGAGCGTAAAAAAAACAGCAGCGTTGCAGTTCTTGACACACTCAAACCGGTCTATGTGTGCCCTCTGAATGGCACACATACACAATCCATGTCTCAATTGTCTCAAGGCTTAAAAATCCTTCTTTAAACTGTCTCCTCCCCTTCATCTACACTGATTGAAGTGGATTTAACAAGTGACATCAATAAGGGATCATAGCTTTCACCTGGATTCACCTGGTCAGTCTATGCCATGGAAAGAGCAGGTGTTCCTAGTGTTTTGTACACTCAGTGTATACCCTCAAAGATATGCTTTTCCATAGTCGTTGGACAATGCAGGTGCACCAGAATCATGACAATAACCACTTATTATTTCTTGAAAAATGTCTTGAAGAATTGATATATCTCAGGAGGAACTAGCTACTTTCTACAATGCACTGTGTTAAATCTCTTGGTGTTGTCCTTCTCTATCCCTCTCCAGGGTTACACAGATGAGCCGGTGTCTAAGATCCTGTCTCATGTAGAGGATGGGAACATCGTCCAGCTCGACCGGTGGAATCTAATAGTGGAGCCCAACCAGGATGCTGGGGCAGAGGAGAGGGATGAGCAGCAGACAGACAAGGTGAACAAACCCTCTCACCCCTCCTCCCAGATCCTGTACTGTAGACGGTGTGGTGTGTGTGTATGGGTGATGCAGAGAATGAGGATTGATCAAATGTTAACTTAGTGCTAGCACTTTACCTATCAGATGGTGTGTTCGTAAATCAGGTTTTTGACTGTGATGAGTTTTCATTGAGCCCCAGCGAATTAACCTCTCTACAATGTCACAATATAATTTGTTTGTTGTAAACAGGGTCATGGCTGATCACACACCAAAATACCTCAGTGACCTTTACATTATTTAATGGTTAGTTAGTTCTAAAAGTTGAGAGAGATGATCAACTAGAAGCACAATCCTGCTCTGCGACCTCAAACATGATGTATTATTATTTGATTTATTTTATGGCAGTGATGGTAGTCTGGGGCAATAAAGACCATAGGACTGAGGATGGAGTTGGGCTCAGCAGCATACTCCGGTTTTGTGTTGAAATGTCAACATTTTTCATTGTGATTTCTGATGTTTTGGTGATATTGCGTCTGGGATTAACACATTTTGTACGGGTTTTCTTTTCCACAGCTCCCCCTCGATGTCTTCAACAACTACTTCAGCCTCGGCTTCGATGCACACGTGACACTAGAATTCCACGAGTCTCGAGGTTGTATTTCAGATTGATCTATTAACGTTGACTACCCATGTAATGTCATTGTTGGGGATAAATCTGTGCTTTCCATAGACAGCTCACATCGATAGTAACAAATTATACTGTGTGTATCTACTGTATGTCATTGTGTCACATTACTCACTCCCTATCATGCTTTCTATAACCAACGCTCCGCAGAGGCCAACCCTGAGAAATTCAACAGCCGCTTTAGGAACAAGATGTTCTATGCAGGGGTGGGTACAGTTGTGTTTTCTAAACGAGAAAATAACTAATACATTCATATTTTCTCACCATTATCATCACTTTTACCATTAGTAGTGATAGTAATTGTGGTATTTGGCCATAGCTTTAGTTGTGTCATTATTTTGTATTGATAATCTACAAGTTTGATTGGTGTTCCTTCTAACCAGACGGCCTTCTCAGACTTCCTCATGGGCAGCTCCAAAGACCTAGCCAAACACATCAAGGTCGTGGTGAGTTCAACTGACCATTACATGGACCTTGGCTGCAGCTCAGATTGTGTGACGTCATTCCGCAAAGGGTTCAAGTTCAACTCTAAATACGTTAACAGGAATTTCCCCACTTCATAGTAAAGATAGTTCCTCAGAAATAGAAATTGACCCCAGTTTGAGAGCCTAGGCTCCATTCTGAGCTTGTGATCCTTACAACCTACCCTGTACATCTCATTAGACTGAAATATGTGTTCTTCTTCACTGTCAGTCAGTCAGAATGTGGCACCTTTCAAAGGGTACATTTTTAAAGGGAACATGTGAGAACTCTTCTGGGAATGATCTGAGTCCGTATGTGTACAGTAATGGAGTCACCTGTCTGTCTCCTCTCATTAGTGCGACGGCACCGACCTCACCTCAAAGGTTCAGGATCTGAAGCTGCAGTGTCTGGTGTTCCTCAACATTCCCAGGTTAGCAGCCACAGCTACTCTGACTATGTTCCTCAATGGGAAAATGGGTTATATATGACATGTTACCATTTTGTCACTGTTGTAATGTAGGCCAAGTTAGGCACATAATCATGCGTGCGTGCGTGTGTGTGTGTGTGTGTGTGTACTAGATACTGTGCTGGTACCATGCCATGGGGCAACCCAAGCGAGCACCATGACTTTGAGCCACAACGGCACGACGACGGCTGCATTGAAGTTATCGGCTTCACCATGACCTCTCTGGTATTCACCTACCAACTTGAATTTGTCTATGTGTTAGAACATAACAGTTAGTCGATTAATGAAATGGATGAGTCAGTTTCTTTACATTTCTCCTAGTCATAGCCTTGCTCTGATGGATGACCGTCTCGTCCTCCCTGGTGCTGTAGGCAACACTGCAGGTCGGAGGTCATGGTGAGCGGCTGAACCAGTGCAGAGAGGTGACCCTCACCACCTACAAGTCCATCCCCATGCAGGTAGATGGGGAGCCATGCAAGCTAGCCCCCTCCACCATCCGTATCTCCCTGAGGAACCAAGCCAACATGGTTCAGAAGGCAAAGAGGAGGACCTCTATACCGCTGCTCAACGAGTGAGTAAAACAGTCCAGCATGGGAATGCCTATTCACAACTGAGTTTATAAAAATAGACCAGAATGGGTCCAGTCAGAATCCGAACTTCAATCCACTATGGTGACTTTCTATACGGTGCTTGGAAGTTGGAAGTTATTGTAATGCATTCGAGTGTCCTCGACCGAGCCGAAGGTCGTTCTTCAATTTCTTGCTGTGTGATTTAAGTGGCACGCAGGTGTGGGAGACTGACAGGCCAGACAAGGTGGGATTCATTTGCAGGGGAGGCTGAAGTGCTGACAAAGGCTTGTGCATGTAAAATAATCCAAGCCAATGAGGGAAAACAAACAAAAAAGACATACAACAACATTCATCAAAGTCATCATGGCTTTGCAACCATCTTCCTTTTCTCTCTATCAGTCATCTTAGTCATATCAGTCTGTCTGTCTACAGGCTGAAAATCGAAGATGTGTTATCAGAATGAACAGCCCTATTTACTTTCATGGTAATTGCATTATCTTTTTAAATCCTGTTGTAAGGTTTTTGCTAATTTCATACTTAGTTGATTCTGCTGTGAGTCTCGCGACAATGTATTGACTTGCTGGCAGGGGGAATTATGAATCCTCCATTTAAAGGATTGAAATGTCCAGGGGGGGGGCTAATTCAATGATTGTGTTTACAGAAGCCTGTTTTAGCTGAGATTAAGTCGTGGTCATCCAAACCTTATTCATGGGCGGCAGGTAGCTTAGTGGTTAAGAGCGTAGTGCCAGTAACCGAAAGGTCGCTGGTTCTAATCCCCGAGCCGACTAGATGAAAAATCTGTCGATGTGCCCTTGAGCAAGGCACTTAACCCTAATTGCTCCTGTAAGTCGCTCTGGATAAGAGCGTCTGCTAAATGACAAAAATAAATAAAAAATAAAATGATACCATTCTTCCTTTTTGCAAAGTTGGTTAGAATGGCCCAACCTTCTGTGAAGCAAAACACCAGGCATTTGGACAGAAAGTAAGAATGATAAGATGCAAATGAGCCTGGAATTCAAACAAACAACCCAGCTGTATTCACTTCTACACTTCTTACATCGTTTGAGATCAAACTGTTCTCCCAACTGTTTTCCAACATACTCCAGTAAGGAACAAATACAACTTGTGTTGTTGTCAGGTGTCTATTGTCCTTGAATAGAATGTTAAGCTATAGTCACAACATTGTTTTTGGGTCTCCCACACACTGCGAACAGGTCACATTTGTCACAGATCACAACTTTCTTCATGAATATATATAATCATCCTAGAAGCCATCACAATGACAAACAGAAGGGGGAAAGCTGCGTTGAACACCTTGGGCTTCTCTCAGGCTGCTGTGCATGTGAGCCCAGGTTGTCAGAGTGTTGTGGTTAGAGGTTGATCCCCTGTCATCAGCTTGCATTAATGCTCTTCCCGGGTGACAGTCTTTCATTAAACATTTTTTTTTACCTCTCAGCCGAGATGTTTCCAACTCCCAACTAGTTAGAAATTAATAAGGAAAGTAACTGATACTATACAGTATAATGGTGTACTGAAATCAAGCATAGGTTATGAATAATATTTGTTATGTGTCAGTTTGACATTATTTGATTGTTTGTTCCTACAAATATGTACACTGAAAAGAAATATAAACACAACATGTAAATTGTTGGTCCCATGTTTCATGAGCTGAAATAAAAGATCCCAGAAATGTGCCATATGCACAAAAAGCTTATTTCTCAAATTTTGTGCACACATTTGTTTACGTCCCTGTTAGTGAGCATTTTTCCTTTGCCGTAATAATCTATCCACCTGACAGGTGTGGCAGATCAAGAAGCTGATTAAACAGCATGATCATTACACAGGTGCACCTTGTGCTGGGGACAATAAAAGGCCACTCTAATATGTTTTGTCACACAACACAATGCCACAAGTATCTCAAGTTTTGAGGGAACATGCAATTGGCAAGCTGATGGCAGGAATGTCCATCAGAGCTGTTGCCAGGTAATTTAATGTTCATTTCTCTACCATAAGCCACCTCCAACGTGATTTTTGAGGATTTGGCAGTAGGTCCAACTGGCCTCACAACCGCAGACCACGTGTAACACATCCGGCTTTTTCATCTGCGGGATCGTCTGAGACCAGCCACCCGGACAGCTGATGAAATTGTGGGTTTCCACAACCAAATAATTTCTGCACAAACTTTCAGAAACCGTCTCAGGGAAGCTCATCTACGTGCTCGTCGTCCTGACCAGGGTCTTGACCTGACTGCAGTTCGGCATTGTAACCGACTTCAGTGGGCAAATGCTCACCTTCAATGGCCACTGGAATGGTAGAGAAGTGTGCAATTCACGGATGAATCCCGGTTTCAACTGTACCGGGCAGATGGTAGACAGCGTAGCGTGTATGGCGTTGTGTGGGCGAGCAGTTTGCTGATGTCAATGTTGTGAACAGAGTGCCCCATGGTGGCGGTGGGGTTATGGTATGGGAAGGCATAAGCTACGCACAACAAAGACAATTGCATTTTATTGATGGCAATTTGAATGCACAGAGATACCGTTACGAGATCCTGAGGCCCATTGTCGTGCCATTCATCCACCGCCATCACCTCATGTTTCAGCCTGATAATGCACGGTCCCATGTCGCACGGATCTGTACACAATTCCTGGAAGCTGAAAATGTCCCAGTTCTTCCATGGCCTGCTTACTCAACAGACATGTCACCCATTGAGCATGCTCTGGATCGACGTGTACAACAGTGTGTTCCAGTTCCCACCAATATCCAGCGACTGCGCACAGCTATTGAAGAGGAGTCGGACAACATTCCACAGGCCACAATCAACAGCCTGATCAATTCTATGCGAAGGAGATGTGTCGCACTGCATGAGGCAAGTGGTGGTCACACCAGATACTGAATGGTTTTCTGACCTACGCCCATACTTTTTTTTATAAAGGTATCTGTGAACAACAGATGCATATCTGTATTCCCAGTCATGTGAAATCCATAGATTCAGGCCTAATACATTTATTTCAATTGACTGATTTCCTTATATGAACTGTAACTCAGTAAAATCTTTGAAATTGTTGCATGTTGCGTTTATATTTTTGTTCAGTGTAATTCCAATTTTTGAGAGATGATACCCAACTGACTATACTTCTTCTGTTGTCTTCCTCAGCCAGCAGCCCTTCCCGGAGAGGTTAAGGATCCGGGTGAACCGTATTAGCATGCACGACTATGAGGCCCTGCATTACGACAAGGAGAAACTCAAAGAAGCCTGTGAGTATTCCATCTCTGTCTAATGCACTGTAACTCCATCATCCATCAGGTGTCAGCCAGCCTGTTCAAGGAGGAATGCAGCAGGCCCTTGAGTACTGCTTCATGCAGGAATGTTACTGAGAGCCAGAGGTGTTTTCAGTGATGTAGAACTCTGTAGTAGATATACTACATATGTCCTTGTGCCATTTTAGGGGACGATTCCAACCTGAGTTAATAGTGTAAATGGAACGAAATTCCCTTTTTATGCACTTTTCTCTCTACGTGTATTCTGACCTTGAATTTAAGCATGAGAATAGCATGCTATTCACCTGCTATTTGTTTGGGGTGGAGATTGAATAAATTAAGGTGAGGCGGAGGTGTGTCTACAGATACGGCATATTCTGACCTTGACTTAATTCCCTAATAATTCGAAACACCTACACGGGAGGAAACCATGAATACGGTTCTACCGGTTCCAAGTGGAAAAAGCATCTACTTAATTTTTTCCAATAGAAATAATACCATTCTCCATGCACTGTAATTGACAACTTGATAAGAGCTAGGTAAATTATTAATCTGTTTGGATAAGGGAATTTAAATGACACTTGTTTTAGAACTATTTTACCTTATAATCGCTGGAGACAAATGTGGAACCAGTCATATGGCAGCAAAAGGAATCCTATCAACTTTCCCACAGTAAAGTTGATGAAATGCTGTGGCATTTTACAGAATTTAAATTATACTGCCTTTTAACTTGCAGGGATGGGCACGCTCTAATGTCTTAATTATTTCCATCATGTTAAATATTAGCCACTATCAGTATCGACCATCAGTAGGCCTAATAACCGCACATATTCAACTGCCAATTTACTGTTAGTTCCCTTCAGTTGGTATAGTCTACATTATCATTCTATTTAATTACATTGTTTTGATTACCTTCATTTGCTTCCTCTGTAAACGCCGTCAAGGCCGTGTGGTTGTTGGTGAGGATCATTAGTAACAAAAGGCAAATTAAATCATTATGGAGCGGCGCGCAGACAAGCCGTAACAATTTGAACCTGACGTATGGCGCAATACTTGGCCATGTCGTCACACAGTTCCATGGTTAGTGCAGGCAATAGACGAGGGTATAGCCTACTATTCTACACTATTCTCCCTATTATAATTCTATGTACACTAATCTTCCAACGTTACTGTGGGTTGAAGAACTGAATGTGGCAATTTCCAGAATGAATCAAATTACCGTTTTCTTTATTTTGTGCGTAAAGGTTCTCCAAACCTGTTTTTTTAGGATTCATAAATACTTTCCTAAATCTAAGTAATCTTCAAAATCAGATTATTTTAAAATCTATAATTCGGTGCTGAAACAGATGAGTATGCATATATTTATATTCTAGTAAGTCTGTTGACAAAATTCAAACTAAAAGGTACACCATATTTAAAGGGATGGCTTAAGATAGATGTACTGAATGAAAATTCCACGAGAAAAACTGTTGGCTAGCAAGTGGGATGGTTTTCAGCAGTTGAATTAAATGTATTCAGTGCGCGAAGGGAACCATTCCTACAAAGCCAGTTATGCACCTGCATAAGGTAAGTCTGAATACCAACTACTGAGAAGTGCGTAGGAAAGGCATGCACAGGAAAGGCATACATTTCCTAAGTCTGAATCGGCCCCTTGGTGAACTGTCAGCAAGAGTGTTTATTACTTCTCGTGGGTGAAATGCTAACATGGACTTTACATCTACACAGCGACTACATAGACTCTGTCACTGTCAAACATAGGTTAGCACAAATAAATGTAATGTGGAAGAACACACCAGGCCCTTGATCGCCCTAACTAGCCTCACTAATTACAAAGGGAAAGGAAGTCCCTTTTGATTTATATGGTACTTAGTAGAAACCCCACAGAGATGGAACTCTTTCATTTTCTCTCTTCCTGGCTCCTCCTTGAGAGGGAGGAGGGGGCGGACATTGGCTCCAGGTTTTGCTATCTGTCCACCCTGATACCCTTCTCCAATCCCCGTCAGGCCACTCGATTGCTATGAGTTTATCATGCAGTGTGGGCCTCCCTGCATGTGACTTTGGCTAGATATCAAGTGTGTGACTGTGAGGCGATAATGAGGTAGCTGTCCATTACTGTCTCTAATGGATGCCCTGGGGCCCCAGAGGGGCTCTGTCAGTGGTTCTGTGTTTTACAGCCTCCTGCAGCACCTGTGTGCTAGGAAAACACGGTAATAACCTCCCATAACACAGCTAGAGCCACCCCCCACTCTTAATTGTTATCACATTCGTATCCTCATGCACAAACCTACTGTTCCAGACAGTGTCCCAGACTATTAGTTAATGCTCTCCTCCCAAAAACAATGTTTGTTTGTTTTGTCTCAAAAAACAGTGGGCAGCATTTGTTTGGGCTGGACTTGTGAAGGCTGTTGTCCTTGAAGTTGTATAGGATTGTCCTCTCCAAACAAAACTGCAACAATTACTGGGCCCCAAGTTATGTAACTGGGATATGCAAGTGATGCTGTTTTTGTCTCCGATGAAACAAAACCCAGCTGCTATGGACCGACCTTGTTGTTGGATATCTCCAAAGAAGTATGTGAAAAAAGAAAGTATGATGAATGTATTAGGTTCTTACTGAACTTTTGCAATTATATAGCCTCGTATTACCATCCTGATGACCGCTGTGGAATTCGTGTAGTGAAATGGAATGTAAGCTCGCAAGATTTCCGGATGGTTCGTACCAGGCTAGCAATTATAATACTAGACATAAAATCTCCCTGTAGGTTTTGATACTCAGGCATAATTGGTGGAGGTCCAACCGTTTTCTAACAGTACCTACCATTCGGTTCACGGAATGCTGAAAGTAGTTTATTCTTTTTTTTTTTCCACCACTAGATGTCAGAACATGCAACTAAAAGAAAAGAAGATATGCTTTTAAACCTGAAGTAAATTTTAACTGATTTTATATATAAACTCAATGTCCATATTAAACTGTCATACAGTGGTCCAATAACATACTTTGTACCTAATGCACCCTCATGCTTGCTGACATACAAGAGAATTCCAAGGCTGTTTTTGATAGGCTACTCATAGATGTAAATGGGAGCGAACACATGAAAGTGAACAATCATTCTGTGATTTGCACATTGTTTAGATTCATTCTAGATATCACACTCAGACTCCCTCTGGCTAACACTGAATCAAGTTCGGTCCCTGATGTTTCACATGGATCTTGAGGTACAAGTGATGTTAGCTGTCATAGCTGAGGTTAAAACTCTATTCTCTCATCTCTGATCCAAAGATATAGCATGTGGCTGCTACCAGTCAGGCAGTTGTCTCAGTGCCTGACACCTATAAAGAGCTTAGACAACTATGCTGTTGCAGAGTGAGGACAGCAAAAGAGAAAGAAAAAAAAAAGAGAAAGAAGCTGAATTGAATTAGAGACAGACTGTTCCAAGGTTGCTAGGCAACAGCACATTCCTCAGTGGAGAGATCTGCCTGCTTTTCTCTCTCTCCGCCTGTGAAACTTGCTGCTCCTCAGAGAGCCACTTTTTCAATTCACAAATCTCAGCCTGATAGTCCACGAGTCATTCACTTCTGTTCTGTTCTGACCGCAAAAGAAGGCCCTGTGAATGGCCTGGACTTTCATGATCACATAATGTGGTTTTGATGCACTCACTGATACACAGTGTATCTGCTCTCTCACCTGCTGCCCAGTTGTACTTTAGGCCTAATTGCCTGTCTTTTGTCTAGCACAAATCAATGGGCATGGGAACTAATGACAAACATGTCCCCGGACAGTTTTTCCTCTTGCAGACATCACATTTAGAGAATTCTTCCTCTGTTATTGTTTTGTATTGCTATTTGGTTTACACACTTCACCTACTTTGACAGCCGTTTCAAAGGGGTTTGAGTTCACTAAGTGCATTGGACTTTGCGTGGCACTCTATGAAATACAAGGCATCCAGGAAGCCCAAGTCTAAATATATCCTTGATCTATTGCCAACAAAATGAACTTCCCCCAAACCTTTCTGGTTTCGAGTTGATAAATGGACACAATCAGTTAGTCTGTGTCTTGTAGCTTGTGTCTATGAGCTACCTGTGGACCTAGCTGTAGAATGGTTTTTCATGCTTGCAGCAGTGTTTAACAGCATGTTGTTGTCTCTCATCTTTCCCCACAGCTATCCCACTGGGCCTCATCGTTGTCCCGGGAGACAGTGACCTGGAAACATGCCGCTCCCACATCGAGAGGCTCCAAGAGGTGAGAAATGAAGGAAGAAGGGGGGGGACAGCGAGAAGGGGACAGAGGAGAGAGTGTGGGTTGATGAGGGGATGGAACTCTGGGTAAAAGAAGGACAGAAGGGAAGGAGGACATTGGCTGTGAGGTAACTAATACCTCAGAAATGTCTGTGATGGAGGACAATACAGACAGAGAGTAGAAGAAGACAGAGGGGGTAGGACTGAGCTAATACCATGGGAGGATTGGGAAATCATTGTGATGAATTTGTGAGAGTGCAAGAGATGAAGGAAGAGAGGAGGTTAGAAGAGGAGGGAGGAACTTGCTGATGTCAAGAGCAATTACTCGCAGGCTGGTATATGATGGCTCATCTCGACAGACAAGCCCAAACCTGTCTTTAGGATGGGAAAGGATTGCATGTGTGGTTGTTTGTGAATGGGGTAGACTGAGATTTTGCCAAAACATGACATCCTTTGCCCCTCTAGCCCCATCGCTGTCCCTTTTGGTTCAAAACCCATTGAAATAAATAGTGCATGAAATTTGTTGCCAGATTAGCGGCATCACTGCTTTGCAATCATTTTATTATTATATATCTCCTTATTTTTAACCACAATCCCTCAATGGCTGTCCCTCATTTGGGATTCTCATACAATATGTTGTTTTGTTGCTGTTTTCATCAGCTCATGTCATAAGAAAAGGCTTAAATTATATTTTGATTTTGTCTGCCACTAATGGAGGCATGATGACTAAAATACTGTTGCAGAATGGTAATTGCTTCTGTAATATGTGTAATCATCCACTTTCATTATATGTTACTCCCAAAGACATGTATTATTGGTAAGTAGGACTCATAGCATACAGCAAGACGGCATAAATTGAGGGGGGGAAATGTTTCTCCCACTACATTCAACCCATTTAATGCAATCCAAAACCAGTCATTATAGTAACTTCAAGACTAGATGTTTATTTTCCTATCCGCATGTGGTGATTTACTTTGGGTAGGGGCATTAGACAGGAAGGAGAGTCTCCATTTGTGGGATTACAGTGTTTTTGGGGCTATTCCACAGGACTTCATCTCCATTCATCCCTCCTTCAAACGACTGGTGCTCCAGGTTGGTAAAACGAGACAGGACATGGAGTCTGTGGCATGGAAAGGAACAAGTCTGAAAAGGAAACATTCCCCTTATCAAAAACGACTTTTAGATCACAGATTACATTTACAATTTAGTCATTTAGCAGACGCTCTTACCCGGAGCGACTTTCACAGACGGAACAAACACAGACGGAGCAAACTAATAACCATAAAATATAATCTAATTCAAAAACAAGGATGAGGCCTTTTATAACCATGTTATTTTTATGAGGACACACTGTTTGAGTATGTGATGCTTAAAGTCTGAAGAAAACACTTGTCAAACCTGTCCCTCCCTGTGCATAACCGTAAAACACATACAGTACAAAGACAGCGCTGCAGCCACAATTCTCATAGTTTCATTAGGTGTTTACTTGGAATTGTGTGTTTGATCAACTCTTCCATTTCTTTTTTTTGTCTCCAAGAAAATAATCTAGAGCACAAATATACTTCTCACATCCAGTAGTTCCTTGTTGGCTTAAAAACAAATCAACTGTGCAGTCAGTCAAGGGTGTGTTGCATCAATATTCGAATATCGTGCCCTAGTGCTTTTACAAAGTGATTTCACCACAAGCTCTAAGTTGCATACCCAGAGAGCGAGAGGTGCGGGTAGATGCTGAGACTGTCTGTCTCCAGTGATAACCACACACTCCTCCCAGTTACCCTGGCCCACCTTTATATCCCCATCCACAGCTTAGCCAAACCAGCTGCATAATGTGAGTGGCTGGATAATAACGGCTGTACTCAGGAGACTCTTTTTCCTCTTGTCTTTCTGTAGTGGCCCTGTTCCCCTATGCAAACCAACCCAAATTTGTTCCTCTGGGAAGAGTTTTTCTCCTTGTTCCTCGGTGCCCCTAAGCATGGTTTAGATGTGTTTGTATGTGTACTTTAGTGTTGTGTGTTTGTGATTGTGAGTGTAATCAGGAATATGTTTGCCTGTGATTTTTGTATGCAGCAAGCATCCAATGTTTAAGAAACTGCTGCAGTTAAGGTTGCTTTGGCTATGTTATTACAGTTAGTAATACTTTTGCTGAGTATAAGCGAGCACTATGACCTAGACTAGTTAGTGGACTAGTTGATACTGTCTCGTTTGGTGGTTGCATGTTTTGGGTTCCCTGTTCGAGACCCAGAAAAGTCTGGTGTTGATTAGATTGGCTACCTTGTGTACACGATTTTCTTTGTTTGTGTGGGTGTGTGTTTTTCTTGTAGGTGGTATCCAGTATTTGTGCCCTAAGCTAAGCATGATCTTTCAGCATAGTTCCTTAGTGCATGCATCATAACATTCTGTACACTGCTATCCTCCTGATCCCCTTGGAAGTTAGATGGACTGGTCAAGTTTACCTTTAGATGGGAAATCAGTAGTAGGTTTTCCTGACCACAGTTAAACTGATCAGGAAAAACCCTCAGCCCTAGTTTTAGCCTATAACTAGGGCCTGGAGTTTTCCTGGCCAAGGCATGTGGTCAGGAGAAACTCATGGCCCTAGAAATGACTTCTGTTGTTGTCGTCACATTCCAACAGGTCTGTTTCAGTCTGAACATTGAATAGACAAATTTCCTTTTGTGACTTGCCTCAGCCCATTTTCCTTTAAACATCGACTTACCTTCAAGATCAAGTTCTGAAGAGGATTATGTCAATGTATCTCATTGCATAAGGTCACTGGACTATAGTACCTTTGGAAAAGTTTGGATTAAGTACAGTTCAGCCAATGCACAGAACAGTGACCAAAGAAGGGATTGTAAGGTCTTTGGACCAAGGATTCTGTGACTGAGGCTCACATAGGGGAAAACACCTGCCCTCCTAAACTCATGGAACTGTATATGAAAGAGTAGGGGAGGGGTTAATAGAAAAGTACTTTTCATTTCAAAAAGCCTATGTCTGAACACAAGACTCAGGGCCTTTAAATCTTGCCCTACATCCAGCAGAAAAGGTTTTTAGTATTTGAGTCCTCCGTGAGTCAAGGCCTTCGAGTCTCATTTATGTTTAGTGTATAGAGCAGGCTGTTGTGGAACTAATCTCATTGGTCCCATTTCTTTCTCAGGAGGATGATGGAGCTAAATCAAAGACCCTTTCCTCGCAGAAGCTTTCGCCAAAGTGGTGCTTCTTGGACTGTAAGTACCACTTCTTATAAGGAGCGCTGCTATTTATTCCTTACACTTTCTATAGTGTAGTATTCCTCTTGTGCCTCCTCTTTTAGTCCCCTGTCTATCTTCAACGCTGAAGAGAGAGCGCTTCACATAATCTGATCATTTGCAAGTGGGAGCTTCTGACTCTTACAGGTCACTGTTTTCTTGGTTCATTCACCATAGAATTTCATATTTTGTCAAGGTAGACATAATATGATAGAACAGTGCCATTTTAGGACCTTACGATTAGCGCATCAGTGCCATTTTAGGACCTTACGATTAGCGCATCAGTGCCATTTTAGGACCTTACGATTAGCGCATCAGTGCCATTTTAGGACCTTACGATTAGTGCATCAGTGCATTTCTTCTGCAGGATAAGGATTCACATGTACATTACAAGCAAATATACACAGCATAAATTGAGTTCTAAATGTTCAAAACACAGGTTTTGAGGATAATTTAAACATTTGTTTTAGATTATTGTTTAGAAGAATTTAAGATAGGTAGAGCAACCTACAGAACATAATTTAACGCAGCTGTGCTGTGTTTCTGTGTGAAATAGGATCAATTAAATTAAATTAAACCGAGCTCCACATTAACATTCATTTAGATCAACAGCTCTGGTGCAAAGATACAGAAATCAATTCGATAATAATGTCACTGATTTGCTTTGAATGTTTCTGCTCATTGTTGCATAGCAGAAAATGAATATTCTAGGCAGACTTCATGCTTGTCTGTGAGATCTTCTTAAGCATACAGTTTATAATATTTCTGTAAATAATCTGTAGTACTGTAAGAATGTCAGTGATTCTGCATGTCTCTTATGAATCTATGGCCCTTTACATATATCCAGTTTTATCAAGGCATTGTTTATTCCACTGACAGTATTATGAATTACATGTTATGTTATGTGCATTGCTAGGAATAGCTATACATTGCTATGCATAACACAGTTTACATATATGATGTACTCTTGCTGCTCATCAGTCACTCCACCAGCAGTGAAACTCACAATCTTCCATCTCCTCACACTAGACTGATATGATAGCTGATCTCTGAAGGGTATCATTGTTTGAATGCTAAGTTAATTAACTTACTAACTAGTGATAGTTGGTAGAGAAAGGAGGGTGTTAGAATCTCCAGCCAAATTGTATGTAGCTTTTCAAAGCTTAATTAAATCCCATAGCTGCTCCATTGAAATCAGCACAGATTAGCTTCTATTCACTGGTAATAAAGCAGCCCAGATCTTAAAGGCTCAGTCCAAAAAAAGACTGTTGTAAAGGTCTCGTGTGGAGAAATTATACATTTTTCTCTCTCCACAAAACAGCATGGCTAATTCTTGATTAGAAGCATAGCAAGTGAATTCCAGCTGCATTCTGATTTGACTGATTATTTAATTAGTACGGGATAACCACATCATACTTTTTGATACATTATGATAAGGTGGAAGAAAAAACACCTTCCCAGATATGTAGGAGAAGCTGAGAAACATGCAGTACACAGACCTGCCCTTAAAGACCTTAAGAAACTAAAGGAATCTTCTGGGCAAACTTCATGCTTGTCTGTGTGATATTCTTAAGCATACAGTTTATTAAAAAATAAGAGTTGGATTATTCTGCTCAGTGAAGCTGGCAGAAATTCAATTTGCAGCATCTGTGGAAGACAGAGGGGTCTTTTTCTTGGCATCTTAGATGTAGGGGAAGAAGCGTTGCACATCTCCTTAATTCCAGCGCACACCTCCTTTGATTCTGCTCCCACTGGGCTAGGGAAGAGCTCTTTCCCACTTCCTCAGACAGACTAGCAGCGTGAAGCTTAATTACTGGTACAGTCCAACAGAACAGGGCTGGGGGGTGGATGGAGGGGAGAGGGGGGAGACAGAGTTAGTTTAGTGGAATTTCTGCTGACTGGATGGAAATGATCATCTGTAGAAAGTAAAGTTGTTTTTTTTCACTCACTACTTCCTCTAAGTTTCTACGCTGAGATGTAGTACTGTCCATACTCATAAATCTCAAAAGAGTGTGTTTGATTTTCCTTTGAAGAGCACATACAATTATATTTACATATGATCATATCCTGTCTCCTGTGAATCTGTTTGTAACTAGTTGGCTGGCAACAGTGTGAGATGTTCGGTACAGTCCCCCAACACCCTGCAAACTGAATGCATCTTTTGAAAAGTCAATGGGTTTCTCATAACTTCCTTGATTTGCAATAGGTTTGTCCAGCGGTCATTGTCTGATGACATGTTTAGTAAATCTTTCTAATTTCGTCTCATCTAGAATTACACCCACTACCACAACCCTTTGACTCTCCTTGTAATGTCCCCAAGTCACTGGGCCAGTTATGTGGCCCTTTGCTCCTACTTGTTCTGTTTATTATACAGGTTATCCATCTTTTCCTTCATTTAACAACATGTGGCAAAGGCATGGTGTGCTTCGGAGCTGGTTTAATCAGGTCAACGCTTTGATTAAGCTCCTGCACAGTTCCCAGCCCTCTCTGGCCTCATTAGAACACTGTGCGTGTGTGTGTGTGTGTGTGTGTGTGTGTTTGTGAGGTTGTGTACAAGCCTATGTTCATATTATTTACTCTCTATAAATCTCATACTATTTATAAATAGATTTTTCCTTCTTGTTTTCCTTCTAGCCACAACTGCAGATCGATTTTACAGAATTGATCGTGCTCAGGTGAGTGTGTGCCATTTATATATATATTTATATATATATATATATATATATATATATATATATATATATATATATATATATATATATATATATATAATAATACGTTCAGTGATGGAAAAGTACCCAATTGTCATACTTGAGTAAAAGTAAAGATACCTTAATAGAAAATGACTCAAGTAAAAGTGAGTCACCCAGTAAAATAAGTATTTCGTTTAAAATATACTTAAGTATCAAAAGTAAATGTATAAATAGTTTGAAATTCCTTATTAAGCAAACCAGACGGCATACTTTTATAGTTTTTATTTATTTACTGAAAGACAGTAGCACACTCCAACACTCACACATAATTTACAAAACAAAGCATTTGTGTTTAGTGAGTCCGCCAGATCAGAGGCAGTAGGGATGACCAGGGATTTTCTCTTGATAAGTGCATGAATTGGACCATTTTCCTGTCCTGCTAAGCATTCAAAATGTAATGAGTACTTTTAAGTGTCAGGAAAAATGTATGGAGTAAAAAGTACATTATTTTCTTTAGGAATGTAGTGGAGTAAAAGTAAAAGTTGACAAAATATAAATAGTAAAGTACAGATACCCAAAAAAACTATTTAAGTAGTACTTTAAAGTATTTTTACTTATGTAGTTTACACCACTGAATATATTGATTATGCAGAGTAATGGAACACCTATAACAAAAGCAAAATAAACAAGTAACATGTTCAATGGCCGTTATGATCTGTACATACAGTGAGGGAAAAAAGTATTTGATCCCCTGCTGATTTTGTACGTTTGCCCACTGACAAAGAAATGATCAGTCTATAATTTGAATGGTAGGTTTATTTGAACAGTGAGAGACAGAATAACAACAACAAAATCCAGAAAAACGCATGTCAAAAATGTTATAAATTGATTTGCATTTTAATGAGGGAAATAAGTATTTGACCCCCTCTCAATCAGAAAGATTTCTGGCTCCCAGGTGTCTTTTATACAGGTACTGAGCTGAGATTAGGAGCACACTCTTAAAGAGAGTGCTCCTAATCTCAGCTTGTTACCTGTATAAAAGACACCTGTCCACAGAAGCAATCAATCAATCGGATTTCAAACTCTCCACCATGGCCAAGACCAAAGAGCTCTCCAAGGATGTCAGGGACAAGATTGTAGACCTACACAAGGCTGGAATGGGCTACAAGTCCATCTCCAAGCAGCTTGGTGAGAAGGTGACAACAGTTGGTGCGATTATTCGCAAATGGAAGAAACACAAAATAACTGTCAATCTCCCTCGGCCTGGGGCTCCATGCAAGATCTCACCTCGTGGAGTTGCAATGATCATGAGAACGGTGAGGAATCAGCCCAGAACTACACGGGAGGATCTTGTCAATGATCTCAAGGCAGCTGGGACCATAGTCTCCAAGAAAACAATTGGTAACACACTACGCTGTGAAGGACTGAAATCCTGCAGCGCCCGCAAGGTCCCCCTGCTCAAGAAAGCACATATACAGGCCCGTCTGAAGTTTGCCAATGAACATCTGAATGATTCAGAGGAGAACTGGGTGAAAGTGTTGTGATCAGATGAGACCAAAATCGAGCTCTTTGGCATCAACTCAACTCGCCGTGTTTGGAGGAGGAGGAATGCTGCCTATGACCCCAAGAACACCATCCCCACCGTCAAACATGGAGGTGGAAACATTATGCTTTGGGGGTGTTTTTCTGCTAAGGGGACAGGACAACTTCACCGCATCAAAGGGACGATGGACGGGGCCATGTACCGTCATATCTTGGGTGAGAACCTCATTCCCTCAGCCAGGGCATTGAAAATGGGTCGTGGATGGGTATTCCAGCATGACAATGACCCAAAACACACGGCCAAGGCAACAAAGGAGTGGCTCAAGAAGAAGCACATTAAGGTCCTGGAGTGGCCTAGCCAGTCTCCAGACCTTAATCCCATAGAAAATATGTGGAGGGAGCTGAAGGTTCGAGTTGCCAAACGTCAGCCTCGAAACCTTAATGACTTGGAGAAGATCTGCAAAGAGGAGTGGAACAAAATCCCTCCTGAGATGTGTGCAAACCTGGTGGCTAACTACAAGAAACATCTGACCTCTGTGATTGCCAACAAGGGTTTTGCCACCAAGTACTAAGTCATGTTTTGCAGAGGGGTCAAATACTTATTTCCCTCACTAAAATGCAAATCAATTTATGACATTTTTGACATGCGTTTTTCTGGATTTTTTTGTTGTTATTCTGTCTCTCACTGTTCAAATAAACCTACCATTAAAATTATAGACTGATCATGTCTTTGTCAGTGGGCAAACATACAAAATCAGCAGGGGATCAAATACTTTTTTCCCTCACTGTAAGTGATTATGGTTTCTCTCTCCATAACAGGAACACCTAAACTATGTGACTGAGATATCCCAAGACGAGCTCTTCATCCTGGACCCGGAGCTGGTCGTCACGGAGACGGTGAGCACCTCACCAGGGATGCCTGATCTGGTTGATTCTTCTGGTGAATTCGCGGAGGCATCTCGCAAGTTTGCCTTCCCATCCTCCTCCTCTTCTCCTCCCCCCTCACCGGGTCCCAGGTAAGAGAAGCAGCTGCTGCTCACAGCTTCTAATGGGAATTTCTGTTGGAGATCAGTTTAGTGCACTAGATAAAGGATGGGGCAGCTCCATTGGAGCTTTATGGGGGTTATAACAGTGAATACATTCCAGGTCATTTTCTGTGAACCAGTCTGTTTGAAAGTGGTTTCCAGCGGTGCTGTTTTGACAGGCTGAAATAGTGTAGTAATAATCCGACTGGCATGCCCCAGGTCCAGGACACTAAAATAAAGGCTGAGTAAACCGTGGGTTGAATCTGTGTTTGGACATGCACGCTATAACACAATAAAACTGTACACTCCTCACGGGACCGTGCTGATTTTGCCCTGCTGAATTATTACTGAGGAATGCAGAGGCCATGCTCGCCCATTAACCCCCACCCATTTAAATCTATGAATCATTTAAGTTCTAACCACTGGGCTGTCTTCATAATCACCCTAGGAAGGAGAAGGGCCATACTCACCTGAATTCACAGAGTGACTTTAGAAACCCTCCACCTCATAGCACATAACTGTGTCAACAGGGGAGAAGATCCAGGTTGAAATACTGTTACTGTAATCAACTTAACAAAAAGAGAAGCCCAGCCATTGTCTGTTCATGGCTGAACAATACAAAGTGTTCCCTACATTGCTAACAGTTTGGAAAATGCATGCAGCTCCACTACTCCATACTGTATGTTAATATTTTTAGAAGAAGGATGTCTGTGTGCCAGGTGTGGATATTTCCGTAATTCTCCACAGTAGATCTCCTCCACATTTTGTAGCCTTTTGTGAATGACACAAGTAATGCACATAGAAAGAGTCAACCAAGTTATTCAAGTAATACCCTTGAGCGCAACATTTCCGTCCTGTTAAATAATGTGAAAGTATTATACAATTGAACATGAGAAGGAATAAACTGCCATGATAAGCTGCCTTTTCATATCTGCTGTGCATTCATCAATATTTCATCGAATAATTTCCATCATACATTAGAAGCTGTCAGTCATATAAAACCTTTACATTTCTCCCTGTCAGTCTACCTTATCAACTTGTATTGCTCTTTATGTCGTACCAATTGTACAGTAGATTATTCTGTTCTACAGTAACTTCACCTTAGTGGAAGTCTCTCTTCTCTACACTTTAGCTCAGGACCCTGTCCCCCATCCATTTAGGGATTTAAGGAGAGTTTAATGAAGACGAGGTGTGGCAACAGGTTCATGGAGTTCAAACATGGCAGAGGCAGATCCTAACCCGACCCACACATTCCCCCTCCAAAGTAAACATGGTGGGACTATCTCTGAGGGCGTGTGGGGAGTGTAGCCTCTCCCTCTCTTCTCGCTCTGTGGTCTATTGGCATGTCTTCTACAGACTATCTTTTGATGCTTTCAAAGTAGAGGCCACATTATTTTTGCCATGTTCTCTCATGCTGCTGGCCAGGGCTTGAAATAGAATTCCTAATAAAAGGCCATTTTGGATCCCTGTAGTCTAGAAAGACAGGCTGAGGTTCATGTGTTTGTATGTGCGGGGGGGGGGGGGGGTGTATTTGGGGTCACTTTCAGGTCCTGCAGTAGTAGTTACAATACTTGAAACAAGAACACCTAGACAGTGATGTTTGGAAGTAGCACTGTGTTGGAGGCAATTTGTCATAGATGAATGCCACCTTAGACTCTTGGCAATGTATCAAATCATCAAAGGAAATTTAAGACGATGCGCATCCTAACTGTTACATTATTTGCATACTAGCATAAACATCATTTTTTTCAGAACCAATTCATTGGCTTAACTGATCTTGTACCATTTATTAACTATTCCTGCTACTGGCTCTGAAGATCCCCGGCTTCTTTGTCCTCCTTTCCCTAATCACAGATCAGTTTAAATGTATATAAAAAGAAAAGTGCAACATTATTTGGGCATGTTATTGAAGTAAAACACCCCTGAATTGTTCCTGTTCTCTCTCCTTCCTTCCCGTCTGCCCTTCCTTCTGCCCTCTTTTCCTCCATCCACTCCTCTACCCTGTCCTCTTACCGTCAGTCCCACCAGCCCACACTCAGACAGCGAGGCCATGGACGTCAGACACAAGACATCCCACTTCTTCTCCTCTCACTCCGGCTTCCCCTTTCCTGTCAGGAAGAGGTATCGATCTGACCTTCCTTCCTGTTCACCCTCCTTTTCTCTCACTCTCCTGCAAAGTTCTTAACTTATCTTGTCCTCCCAAGATTGTCTTACTCTGCCCATGGACGTGTCTCCCCCTATAGCCATATAAGATTCCTTTGAGTTTTACTTGGATGTAGCAGGGGGTTTTGTGTTCTTGACTGAAGCCTCTAGTCCAAGATCTTTGTTGAGCACAAGTCCAAGATCTTTGTGGGTGGAACACATTGAAGCTCATGGAAAATAAGGTTTACACCAGCAGAGTGCATTTTAACAGCAAAGTGTGTACTGTGTTGCTTTATTTTCCTCAAAATATAACATTTGGATCATTTGAAAATAGATGCTTCTGCACCCATGTGTGTGTTGCCAGGGCAATTGGTTTTATTTAAAATGCAAAGTTGATTGTGTGGGTTGGAATAGGTGGAGGAGGATGAATGTGGGAGGTGATGAGCAAAAACCCAGCATTCCCCCCGGAATGGGAATGAATACAGTACAATCTGCCTCACTGCTTATGTTTCACTCCCACCTTCCTTAGAATCAAGATTCTATTTCACTTATGAAATGGAGAAAATCAGACATGCCCACAATAGAACATCACAACTGAGATTGGGGGTGAGAGGTGCTCACTCCCAATCTGATGATCCATTTTACATTTGACGCTATAGTCTTGTCAAAGCAGGATTTGTCTCCATAAAGATGTTTGTTTGTTGTTGTTTTTTGGGCCATAGCTGTCTAACTCTTTTCAATAATGTTTTTATCTCTATGAGCAGGCAGCCAGAGAGTGGGTTGGGCTCGGAACGAGACATGGGGAAGTGGCCGGCTGAGCATGGGGTTAGCCTAGGTTAGGTTTAGGGTTTGGGGGATCGATGAGGTTTTATGTCTGGGTCGGATCTATAGTAAGAGCAATTAGATCACTAAACACACATTCATGAGTCATGACGCTCTCAAATAATATTGTTGCTTCCTCTGTCACAATGAATAGCTGGGATTTTGTATGCTTTGTTTTAGTGCTTCCATAGTCCTGGAAATACACACTAGTCCTGCTGTGGATCTTTATTAGTTAAAATGTCAGCTTTAGATCTTTGGGAAAACAGTCTTCCTAATTTAGATGTCAGGCTTTGATCATCTTTGTTTCTCATATTATCAATATTTCATAAATCACCAATCCGATTGAACAGACAATGTGTATGCAGCTATGCACATCTCAATTAGAAGTGCAGACTGTTCACTCCTGAGAAACTCTACATTTTCTAGGCTCTGCACTTCCCTGGTTCAAGTCCTGCCCTTCACTATTTTAGTGAGTTGCTGACTTTCCCCAATTGATCTGAACAGCATCCCTACATCTATATTCCAAAATATTTTACCCATCAACAATTTTTAACAGCTTTTGCACAGTCTTTTACCATTACAGACACATTTCCTGTATGCTGAGTGTATGCTCTTTGTTCCCCTTGCCTCTGGTCCTGGTTGGAAATCAGACAGACTAATGTGATGAATGTGGGAGAGATGGAGCAGGTTGGTGGTAGACTGACAGACCCAGCACCACAACATGTTTCGGATCATTACACTCCACAACAAGACCCCAAGTGATTAAATAATGATCCGCACAGCACTTCTGCTCTTTTGTTGCAGCTCTTCAGTTAGAATGGAATATAAAAAGATATTCAATCAAACTAGAATGTTATAATTAGCTATTATTGGTTGTATTAACAATTGAACACCATTTTATCAAAATAAGCTTCAAAGCAAGTACTGTAGGTGCTGGATGACAGGAACATTTCTATTGCATATTAGTGTCTTCATTAACTGCAACGTTTTACCATTAACATTTCTCTTGCTTCTATATCCAACCTTATTCGTTCTTTAGACCCCATCATTCTATAATTCTGTCTCATATACACAAGTTCTCTCTTTTGCTTATGCACTCTGCTCCCAATGGTGGAAATGTTCTGGTTTCCATCTTCCAAATGGGTTCATCTGTACAGTGTGTACCTTTTTGTATTTGCACTAGATCCCCCAGCAATATAAACATACTTTATTGTTATATATACAGTGGCCACCTCTGATGTACACTTGCTTTATTTTATAACAAGAAAAGGCTTAAATGTTTACCGCGCTTCAGGACCCAGTGGGAATAGATACAGTACTCTCACTACTCTGTCTTTCCATAATGTATACAATGTGTCACCCCTTCTAGGCCATCTTGAACCTCATCATTTCTTATACATACTGTATCTCTCTCTTTCTCTCTCTCTCTCTCTCCCTCTTTTCTGTCTATCTCTCTCTCTATTTCTCTCTCACAGGATCATGGACCTCCAGAAGACCACTCAAAGGAAGCGAATATCCAGTGACAGTTCGGTGGTGGAGGCACTGGCACACAGCGACTCCCTCAGGTCCAGTAAGCCAGCCCTCACCAGGTGAGAAGAGAGACTAAAACACAGGGGTGGTGCCCCGACAGAGGCAGCCGCCAATCTCCCAAATCACATATTACAGCTTTGATTTTGTTCTTGTAACACACTGCTTTCTTGGACACTACTTCACGTAGAGATGCAAACAATGCAGCTAGCCATTGTACCATTGTAAGAGGGATTTAAATACACACAGTGTTTAGGCCCGGCGGTGCCAGACAGGTTTAAGCCATGGCCATATCCCTGGCAGGGTGTGATATGCTCAGGAGTAGAATGAGGCTGGGGAAGATTTAGCCAACCCTCATTATCGGACAGAACCAGTGTAGCCTCCCGTAGCCACTGTCATGCTCGCCTGGACTGAATAGGAAGGGGTCGGACATTAGAAAAGGGTCTTGCCTGTGACACTGTTAGAGTATGGTTCCATGTAGGTGTACAAATCTACTTAGGCCAGGAATTGTTCCATGAAATAGTCTGCAGTGTCACTAGGTCAATAAAGCACCGTACCATTCCAGTTTTTGCAAGGAAATGCATTCTTCACAGTGGAGTTGTACGTATTTGTCCTGGTCCATCATTTCAGAAAAGTGTTATGGTTCACCTCCTTGAGTCTCATGAAACTGAAATGACAAGCAGTGAAATGCTGTTTTTTTTTCATGAGCAAACACATCAAAACAACATGTTTTTGCTTTCATAATGTAATTCATTCTTATTAAGTGTTTATGAACTGAGAATGGTTTGTAGGACTTGTTTTTAGTGCTGATTGTGCTTTGTTTATATTACCTCCCTATATTGGAGCCAGAGAGAAGGAGGGAAAATGACAGTGTATAACAGCATCTGCCACAGACTCGCCCTTCCAAATTGAATCTGCCATGAAATATAATGACGTTAGGCTGCTCTTTGATATTGTGGCCACACCAATGACGGGGACCGTGAGGGTCCATGGTCACTCACCACAACATACAATACAGTCACTTGAGCCCATTTTGCCATGGCACATTGAAGGTCAAATGAAAAAATTAAACAAAAACAATAACACACAGAGCTCTGTGCCACAAAATAGCACTCTGGTGTAGTTTTTTGTTGTTGAAAAAACACACTCTTGTTTGAGTGTGTAGCCGGTACCTTTGATGGTAGAGTGGACATAAAATATACTGTTGCCCCTCTGGTCAGCGGCCATACTTCTTGCTCATAAATCAGGTAGTTCAGAAGCCAGCAGAACACTGTTAGGACTACCCAGAGGGTTGGCTAGCAGTGCCCTATTGCCGTACCTATAGCTCTGTAATGGTCTTTGTGCCTGGGACCGGAGTGGCCTGTGAAAATTGAATACAGTTAGAAGGGGTGAAGCACTACCATTCCTTTTGAGTGTAAGTGCACTTACTGTAAGTTTTGCTTACTGCAAGTCGTAATATTGTATATATTTTTTTGTTGCAGCTGATGAACTTAAAACTCTATCATACCATCTCAATGCCAATAACACATTCTCGAAATGAGGCTTTCCAGTTGTTTCTGTTTTCATTGTTTATCTTGCATGTTTACACATTTATGATTTATAATTTCTGTGCTCATCGTTTTTGTTGTTGTTGGTCCATCCATTTTTTTGCTGTTGTCTTAAAGGGCAGGATGTATCCATCGGTCTAACACTACTGCAGCTGATTTCAACCCAAACTTGAGGTGAGATCAAAGCCCCACTTTCACCTCTTTCACTTTCTTTCTTTTCACCAAGTCACTTTCTCAATTCTGCCCTTTGCACTCTCTGTCACACAATAATGCATTTACTTTGCAAAGTTTCTGCTTACTAGTTCCTTGGTCTGGAGTCTACACAATATCACAGACCTCAACGCAATGTGCCAGACATGTCATGTGGTACAGTCGCATCCCAGTGAAGAGAGAGAATCAGATGTTTGAAACTGAATTTCTAAGGGATATTTTGATGTTGTGTCATGGTGACATTGTCCTTACAATAGTATCATCTTCACGTCCCAGCTTGGCAGGATGCTAGTGAGAATGTGGGGATGACATTCAGCTGCTGATGGAACCATATGGCACAAACAGGCCTATGTGCTCCCTCTCACGGTCACTGTGCCCCATCCCCTCTTTACATACAATAGCTCCATTTGGACAGCTGAGAGAGAGAGAGAGACAGAGACTGCCTTAGAGTACTCACAGACAGGCACAACCTCACATTTGATTTTACCATGAATTATGTGTCATTTTATGTGTAATTTTCCCACTCTTGTTTGTCAGCGACGCTAATTCACTGTTGATTGAGTCTCATCTGGAGGCAGATTTGCATGATGGATCCTTTCCATGTCCACTGAGATGACTAATGAGAAGTTACATCTTCTGAACGCTGTCATGTGTGCAGCACTGCAAAGCCACTCCAAGCAGCAGCCGTATGAAATTACCCAGAATTTAAGTTTTGCTTGTCACTTCAGTGATCTGCCAAACAGACTGATTAATGTATTTTGTAGCTTTTCCTTGCCAGATTTTTCCCTGTGTTATGCTTCCCTGTCGTGCAATTATAATTATTTCCAATGTCGTAATTCATTTGAGATTTACAGCTTTTTTTCTTTCTTGATGTCTGGGTAAAATGCTTAGGATGCTAGCAAGGGCTTTGTTTTTATATTGAATGGGTAATTAGTCCGTAATCAGCTAGTCTTAAAAGAGAGGATATTTGAGCCTTGATACAAAGCAAACACTGTCAGCTTTTCCTCTGATGTTTTGTTCAACAAATCCGCTTAAATGACCATGTAGCATTCACTGAGGTGGCTTTATAAGATGTGTCACATTTATATTCTTTATTCACTGTATTTTGTAATGATAGTGCTCAACTGAGTGTAATGCGTGTTCCTCCTAGAAAAGGAGATTGTTATTTGTAGAGTGTGTTTTGGCTGCACGGACAGTAGAAGGTAATGAGGTAACAGAAGATGTAATCGTGTTGATTTGGACAGCAGCTCCCATGTAGATGGGTTCATACTCTAAAATGTAAGCTTCTCAGGGCATCACAATCAATACATGTATACAGTATGATGGAAACCTAGTATTTACCATTCAATAAATACTGTAGGGAGCTCTGATATACCAGAGCACACAGTCCAGCATGCATCAAACATCCTGAATCTTTGCTAAATGAACGATGGTAAGAAAAGACGGCACACCCATACCATTGTTTACTCAATGTTTGCGTTTCGAAAGATCTATGTGCTGAACCAAACCGTCAGCTCCTCTAATTGCCTATTATGCCTTATTCTGAGACAGACCGTCTTTTCTCACTTACACAGGAATGTACAGACTGTTTGCATTAACGATCTCCGAGGTGACAAATTGTTACCAGCTTTGGCTTCTAAGCATCCAGCAGGCTTGCTTTTCACTTCCTAATAAGAAAACGTTATCGCCATTTAAAGCAACAATTTGGAGTCTGTTTTTCTGCCCAGCTGCAGCCCTGCCACTTGACTTGGAACAGAATATAATTAATTGAAATGACCATTCAACCGCAGTAAATCTTGCGGCTTGTGTCTTTAAGGTCAATCCCGTTGCTTTGGCTTTAGCTCAATTGATTAACATTGTCTTAAGTCATGCAGGCAACCTTGATTCTATGAAGCAGATCAGTTGATGTCTATCAACTGCTGGGGTTGTGGAGGAGGAGGAGGAGGAAAAAAGGGAATATGAGATCACATAATGAGTAACCTTGCCTGAGACCTGAAGACTCATGTTTATTCCCAGGCATTAGTTTTACTGTAGAAGGACACATAAAAGCTTCTGAACTCCTCCCTGTGATTGGAGAATAACTGTCAGGTTGGTGGAGATGTATGTGTCTGGACTGTAGAGGCTGGGCTCCTCTGTAATTATGAGGTGAGACAGATATTCCAGTAAACTGTGTGTAATCTGCCCTGGATCTCCCTCACATTGACAATCCATTAGCGACAGAGGCTGGGCCCGTGGTTTGGAGCTTGATATTGCCAACACATCTTAGCTGCATATTTTGTTCCCACTCTCAAAGGAAATAGCTGCCAGGATCCCAGGGCTTGAACATATGCTTTGCCAGCTATTGATTGTGATAACTTTTTCTTAAAACTTTAGTCTGCTTCACTTGTTTCCAGACCCACATATTCTTTTTAAAAACCTCCCAGTGTTCTGTTTGTCACAGGCACTGTAAAGGAACTGATAATGCAGTTTGATGTAATGTAAGACTGGAATACTCATTACATTTGTATGAAGTGTGGGTGAAACTGGATGGCTTTAGTAAATCAAAGCACATTTTCCTCTTAAGATATATCTTTCATACATGTTTCTGTTTCAGCAACTGTATCACACACAATGCATGGCCTACATATGATGAGCTTATGATCCCCTGAGCTTATGAACACTGGACCTATAGCTACCACTTTTGCTTGCTGGCGTCTGCCTCCTCCACAGTCAAACAGCCGAATGACTAGTGATGGGGGAGAATTCCCAGCCCTACCAATGACGCGTGCTGGTAACAGCTGACAGGAAGCCAGCTGCCTTTTGTCAAGTGTTTTAAATATGGAACTCTGACAAGATGCTCAACGTCTTTGATCAAAGATTTATCTAGGGAGTGAGACTGTAGTGAGGAGTGGATGGAGACAGACTGGGTAATTGTGGGAGACTCCTGGGCTGATGAGAGAGACTGTGGGCTCTGTGTGGTTAATTACCCCTAACAGAGGAAAGCAGGCCCATTAGTAACCCACAGACATATAGGACTCCCAGACCTTGGGGAAAGACTTGTTACAGGGATTATTTTCTCCTCAGATTTACCATGATCACAATGTGTTGCTTTGCACAGCAAGCATCTGCTCTGTTGCGTCTAATTGTATTATTTTTCAAGTCCAGGTGATTGTACTGATCAAGGTTTCCAACAGATTAGACCAGGGCTCTCTAACTCTGTTCATGGAGAGCTACTGTCCTGTAGGTTTTAGCTCCAACCATAATCTAACGCACCTTTATTCTAATAATTAGCTGGTTGATAAGCTGAATCAGGTTAGTTACAACTGGGGTTGGGGCTAAAACCTACACGAGGGTAGCTCTCCAGGAACAGGATTAGAGAGCCCTGGATTAGAACCTTCTCAAGTTTTCAGACAGTTTCTAAAAGAGTATACTCTGTCTGATGAAGATTTTCTTTCTAATTCACTACCATTTTCCCAAACCAAACTAGTTCAATTACAGCAGTATTCTACTTGTTTTGTGAGATTCTAGTAACATTGTAATAATGCTTTATTTATTCACCCAAATCTCATAATCTTTTAATATGGCTTTATTAAATGCTTGCTTAGCCATCCTGGTAGATGACCACTCAGAGCAAGTGGTACAACATCTTCATGACCATTATAGTATCTATTCAGGCAGGGTTTTTTATTCTACATGAATACAATGGTCTCTGACCCGCTAATGTTCTTTATATATTCACACCTTTCATACCCATGATTGTTTACCCCTTCTGCTCTGTGCTAATAACAAAGATGAAGAACCAGTCTTTAGCCCAGCCTGAGAGAGCTGGGGTTGACCAGGAAGTAAGTAGGATAATCTGTCTGGTCAGTACAAGGCCTGCTCCTCAGACAGTCAGTCTCAGCTTCACTGTTCCTGCCTGTGTGCGTTTGATGTTAGTCTTGTGTCAGTTCTCTGTGGATTAGTGTGTGGTGGATTTGGCTTCCGGCAAACAGACAGCCCAGCCAGGCTCAGACAGTAACATAACCTGGAGTGACAGCAGGGAGGCCCAAGAGCTGCCCCTCTGTCCACTCACTGTTTGGCTGAAACAGAATGGAAGAGAGGGAGGGAGGGGGAGTTCTTTTGGCTGCAAACACACGAATTAGAATCTTTTACCTTGGGCTAGTTGGCAGGCAAGGGACGCCTGGAAAAACAGAGCACATCAAGGGGACTGTCTAATTAACCACACCACCTCTCCTCTGAACCAACACCAAATCCATGCAACCGAAGCAAGTCTTTTTTTGGGACATTTTAATTTTGTTTTTGGGATTTGGTTTGTTTTTGTTTTTTCCTATCATGGATGTTTGCTATGAAAACCCAATGGGTGCAGAGAGGTGGGCTTTACATGGCATTTGTTTTGTAGACACAGAAGTGAACTGTTTGTTTTATGATCCTTGAATCGTGTCCTGTTCTCTATCTCCCCCAGGGTGGAGAAGAATACACTGTGCAATACAGACAAAGGTAAAACAAACGCACTTTGAATTGTTACACTAGGTGATTATAAATTGACGCAGTTCACTTGGCAGCAAGTGGATGGGGGTAAATCGGTGCCCACAACTGTTTTGCTCTAGTGCTTGATGTTTTGAAAAATCATCAATCAGCTAATTCCTGTCAGAATGAAGTTTCACTATGAATAATGTCAATGTTGAACGATAAGACACTTGTGCTCTAAAAAATGTCTTAGCCTTTGTGGCCCTGCTTAAACAAGCCCCCGCACGTTCACCTGCCATCATGCAAAGGGTTTTACCCGAAAGAAATATATTGGCACTTAAGGTATGCATTTGAACTACTGTGCTGCGAGGAAAGGTTATTAAAATTCACACTAAAAACATTAGCATTCAAGTCCATCCCTCACAAAGATTCTGGCATGAGCCCAGTCGGAATATATTCTCAAGAGCTGACTTGGCATCTCTCGAGTTGTTTTCTAAAGAAAAAAATATATATTTCCAGTAGCAGCCCCTTTCTAATTCTGGTTGTTCCACTCTGACAGCAGGATTCTAGAGCATATCTTCAGACTCAGACGTCGTGGTAGCAACTGTTTGACTTGCAGTGCTGGCTAACTGAGATTTGTGAGAATGCTGTGGGGAATTTCGAGTTGACTGTTTTCCTTCCTCGATGGAAAACATGCAGATGGGTGGATTAGGGTAAATAATCTACAAAGGGTATTTTGGTGCTTTGAACAAGGATTTGCCATATTGAGACTGAACCCAAGAACTCAACAGGCGTTAATGTGATTATCTGTGTTCATTTAAAACGTTTCATGATCCAGTGTTTAAACACTGGGTTTCTACTGAAGGCAGCAACCTGCATCTTGCTCTCGTTACTGTCCATGTTAGCTGAGTAAATAGATTATGTTTTTGCTCATCAATTCAGTTTGAGGTTCCTTTCCCAAGACTCTTACATAAGATATATAGTACATTCAAACACTAAAACCAAACAAACAAGTGCCCCATAAAGAGCTATTAATGAACTCAGATCTTTCCCCAAAGGACACTGTCATGTCATACATTTATTATGGTCTGCTGTTGTTATGACTACTGAATCTACAGCCTCATATTTCTACCTTCTTACTCTACTTACACATCTTTCTCATTACTTACAGTATCACCAGAAGTGTTGATTGAATGTGTGAAGAGCAAGGACCATCTGAAGGTGAGTGGGAGCCACAGTAGCCAATGGATATGCACACTGCATATAGGTCTACATACTGTAGAGTGAATGTAGGCTCACTAATTGATACATTCAACAAGGGAATGATGACTTTACCTCAGGGTAAGCATTTCTCAGGTCGGCAATTTGATAAAAATGCAGTCTATTCCCCCACGCCTCCAGTCATAACCATGTGCCCTCTTCTCCCAGCTGAAGGAGTTGCACAAACTGGGAGCTGACCTGTCAGTGCAGGACCACTCAGGATGCACCCTGCTCCACTATGCTGTGGACACTGGTAGCAAGGAGACTGTCAAATACATCCTGGACAATGGTAGGGACAAGGCGATACATATTTATGTGTTCCATATAAGTCTGTAGGTAGGACATCCCCCTCACAATACTGAACCATCCTGTGGGATTTCCCAAAGTGAGTCTGTGACTCTCAAATATCAACTATCTATCAGAAGTTAACCCAGCACAGTAGGCTCTATGTTTTATAATAGTAGAATTATGTCCCAGGTGTGGAGCGCCATATATTTGAGGGTCATGTACATTGTTTAAGACAAGCCACAACGCAGGTACATCTCACTCTGTGTACGCTTGTTGTCGTTTATGGAGTCTTTCTTGCTCAACAACGAATGATACATTCCAATATTTGAAAGGGATATGTTTTCTGTCAGAAAGTCCTCCTACACCAGCTTTTATAAAAGTAGTACCTTGGAGCATTGTAATTGGTTTAGGGACATGCTTTGACATTTCTATTTTTTCCCTTCCCCCTCCCCAAAAACAGCACCCACAGACATCCTGGATGTAACCGAAAAAGAAAAGTAAGTTCAAGACATGGATTTTGAAATGCTCATGTTACACATATTCGGTGTGATGTATCTAGTTCAAGTTTTAAATAGAAAGTTACTCATTGGAGCTACTCTCTCTCTCTCTCTCTCTGTCTTTCTCTGTCTCAGTGGGGAGACAGTGTTGCACAAAGCAGCGTCACTGTGTCAGAGGACTATCTGTCACTACCTGGTAGAGGCAGGGGCATCCCTCATGAAGACAGACTTACAGGTGAGAGCAACGCTCCCTCTTCACTCATCGCTTTACTCTTTATTTGGCCAAAAGAAACCAAGTTGATGCGTAGGCTACCCCTGAGAAGTGTTTTATACAGTGGATAGGGCGGCAGGTAGCCTAGCGGTTAAGAGCGTTGGGTCCGAAAGGTTGCTGGTTCGAATCCCCAACCCAATCAGGTGAAAAATCTGCCGTTGTGCCCTTGAACAAGGCACTTAACCCTAATTGCTATTGTAAGTCGCTCTGGATAAGAGCGTCTGCTAAATGACTAAAATGTCAAATGGATAAGTGGTGGGTATAGAATGGCCTAATCATCATCCAGAAGGAAAATTAGCTTGTCTTTCTTATGACAAGCTAATTATACATCGGGTGGGGGAGCACTACAGCGGTGCCCTACACATCCCCTCTGAACCAAACTAGCCAGATGCCTGCAAAGTCAATTAAAGTACTTACCTCCAAGTGGCTCCACCATAAAATGTCTTATGTGCTTACCCTCTCCTGCAGAGATAGCCAATTGGATTCATTTGTTTAAGCTTCCACTGACACAGTGGGTAGAAGGCAGTTGGAACATAAGGTTAAAAATTTTTACTACAGTACTTCACAAGATCCTCCTTCTGAAGACCCCACAGCTGGTTTTTATCTTAGCTTTCTGTCCTGGAAAGCTCAGACTTTACCACATTTAAGATGTCTTGATTTTCATGTCAAGGCTTGAAGAATTTTCCAATACAAAATCTCACTGCCACATCGTGTGTGTCTGCAATGTAGTCTCTCTCATAAGCAACTGACATAATGCTTGAGGTGTCACTAGGGAGGAGTGTAGTCCTCGCCAGTCAGTTGTTCTATCATGCTTTGAAAGTACTCTGCTACTGTAGCTCTCCTTTACTCTAAATGAAACATTCCATGACACTCAGCAACCTCCCTCTACCCCCCCCCCCCCCCCCCCCCCCCCTCTCTCTCTCTCCTCAGTGAGCTAGCAGTGAGTCTGATTCATACCCTGTGGCCTTGGGATGCAGTTCAGCCTGGCTTTCTTTCCTCTCCTCCATCTCTTCATCCTCCCAGCCTTTCTGCCTGTCTGTCTTTCTCACTCACAATACATTCACTCTTGGCCTTGAGACATCAGCATATCTTAGCAATTACTTTTCCTGTCTTTTTGTCTCACCCTCTCGCCATGTTCTCTTCTCTCTTCTTTATCTCTTGAGTTTTTTTGGTCTCTGCACTTTAAAAAACAAACAATTAGAAATAATTGGGTTTTGTGAAGCTATTTCTTAAATGAGACAGTAGCTCTTGGATGAGTCTAAAAACATTCTAGATTTGCTTTTGCACACAGACAAACAAATATTTGGTGCCTATTCACTGTTGATAACTGGAAATATTAAAACTAAACCATGATGAAATCTGAATGCAAATGATTCCTACATCTCAAAAATACTTGCAGACTGTTCTTTGCAGACTGATCTTTGACTCTGCGGCTTAATGTTTAGACATCAGGAGAAATAGATGCTGCCTTAATTAAAGTTAGGTTCTTCATTGCGGTCTTTTATGTTGAGCAAGTTGCCTCTCTTGTGCTGCAGGGTGACACACCAAAGCATCGTGCAGAGAAGGCCAAGGATGCAGAGCTGGCAGCCTACTTGGAGAACCGGCAGCACTACCAGATGATCCAGAGAGAGGACCAGGAGACAGCCGTGTGACTGCCCTCTGCTCCCTGACCTCCAGCACCACTTCCCTGTCACCTAACCCCGTGCCAAACCTACTTTAGCTAAAAGAGGAAACTCACCAGAGAAGATGGTTAAAAGGTAGCCGGTGTTGTATCCTCCTGCTAGGGAGTTGGTTGGAGTGCTACCAGTTGAGAGACTCTTAAGGTCCGCCATGTGAGATGCTTGTGACCAGTGGACTTGATTATTGCACTGCCAAAAAAAAAGCTATGTTTTGTGTCGGAACGCTTGGAAGAGATGGCTCTTCTGTTTCATTTTTTTCCCCAGGTTGTGTTGCGCTTGCAATCCACCTAGACTGAATGTTGAATGATTACATAGAGAATTTTGCTACAAGGTTTTAGGACAGGAACTTGGGTAATTGAATGTCAAGGTAATTGTATTATGTCAATAAAAGCAGCATGAGAGTTTCAAGTGTATGGATCACAATGACTCAGTGGATTTCAAAAGGGTATTAACACTCTGATATGTAGGCCAGCTGTCTTTAAGGCTACCAAAAATGACATTATTTTGATGACGGTTTTATTTGTTTATAGCACTGTTAATTTTTTTGTTTTTTTTGTTGTTGACTGATTTGGCCACCCGTAATGCAGTGTGATGGGATCAAACTATCCACGAAAGTGGGGAATTTTACACTTTTCTCATCACCAAACAATTTGAATTGAGTAAATCAATATTGTTCTACTTTATGACCACTTGGCTAATTTTTCTTTTATTTCTTAGTGTTAATAAGGATATTTGGTACTGTACACTTATCGTAGTAGCTCTGTGTTAAAGCAGTTTATGCACTGCAGCTCCAATTGCCTTGATTTTCTTATTTTGTTGGCTGATTAGTTTGTACTTAATGTACTTAAGTCATGGCATATTTTTATAGCATTTTTAAGCAGATTGATGTTTATATAATTTGTACATACTATAAATTTACATTTTTGTGTTTGGTCATTATTTACTATAAAAATGTGCATTTGATATGTATTTGTTTCAGAACTACAGAGCGTTTCTTCTCTCATATTGTTACAGAAGTCAAAGGCGTATTTATTCACATCAACATTTTTTACCGATCCTTAACATGCACATAAAGTGGTTAAATTATGTTCAGCAAACTCAAAAATGTTGTGACGGTTTGGGTTGTAAATTTACAGAGTTGTTGTTGTTGTTTTTTACGTAAAAATAATAATAATTTGTCTTCATACAAACCAACAATTTGTGGGTTACTATTTATTTTCCATAGTTAGAATCTCTGTTAAAATATGACTGGCCATTTAAACCAGAAATATAAATAAACTTAAGTTATAAAGACATGTGATTCATTTAAACGGTGTTCATGTTATATTGTGTTGAGAGTGAGGGGAAGGAATTGGTCTCATTCCAAAAGCTATCCTACAGTATAACTAGCTAACTAGTTTAATGTAGCACCACAGTAACTGTGGATCTACTGTATTTTGTTAGACTGATATTAGTTGTTTCTCTGGATTTCTTATAATTATTTAATCGCTAAACATACTTGTAAAACGTACTTGTAAACACATTAACAAGGTACACTATTTCATATACACATTGTTGCTGAATTCTGTTTGTTGTCAAAAGTTTATAGTTTTTACCGTTAAACAACCCATAATGCCAACTAAGATGCATTTCATTGTAAATCATTGCTGCTCTCTATTATGGCCAGATATATGAAGAAATGTAGCACTGAATCAGTTTCTGTGATAGGAAATATGTTGTCAATGAAAGGCCTCTAGTGTTTCTAATGCCAGACTGAAAATAACAACATTTCTCTTAAATGTTCATATATGTTTTATTTGATTATGAAAAGTAAATTAATTGTGTAGTTCTACATCAGTTATTATGCTTCATACATAATCATATGTTCTCACATAATTTTTGGAGGGGGTATTCATTTTTTGAATTTAATTTTTAACAATAGAAAACATCCACATACAAACGACAACGTACAGGCACACACAAACATCCACAACATCACCCCTGCCCCCCTGCTCACACCCCCATCTCCAGCGCCCACATCACTCTCCGCCACATAGCCTCAAACTGCACCATTTTGTTTCATTGTCACACTGATTGTCAGCATTTTCATTTGACTCTTCTTCAATAATGAAGACAGTAGGCCCCCTTTTAGTTGACTTCACTATAATTGAAATATGTTAGCCTTGTGGCTGAGAAGATTGGATATCATCATTTGAGGCATTCATGATTATACTGCATACTGAAAGAGGTGCATATTTGATCAGATTATGTAACATATATCCTGCTGTTCAGAGACTGACATGGAGATGTAGGAAATGCCTTTGCATTTATATAATTTGGATGTACAGTACCAGTCAAAGGTTTGGACACACCTACTCATTCAAGAGTTTTTCTTTATTTTTACTATTTTCTACATTGTAGAATAGTAGTAAAGACATCAACACTATGAAATAACACATATGGAATCATGTAGTAACCAAAAAAGTGTTAAACAAATCAAAATATATTTTAGATTCTTCAAAGTAGCCACCCTTTGCCTTGATGACAGCTTTGCACACTCTTGGCATTCTCTCAACCAGCTTCATGAGGTAGTCACATGGAATGCATTTCAATTAACAGTTGTGCCTTGTTAAAAGTTCATTTGTAGAATTTATTTCCTTCTTAATGCGTTTGAGCCAATCAGTTGTGTTGTGACAAGGTAGTGGTGGTATACAGAAGATAGCCCTATTTGGTAAAAGACCAAGTCCATATTATGGCAAGAACAGTTCAAATAAGCAAAGAGAAACGACAGTCCATCATTACTTTAAGACATGAAGGTCAGTCAATCCGGACAATTTGAAGAACTTTGAAAGTTTCTTCAAGTGCAATCGCAAAAACCATCAAGTGCAATGATGAAACTGGCTTTCATGAGGACTGGCACAGGAAAGGAAGACCCAGAGTTACCTCTGCTGCAGAGGATAAGTTCATTAGAGTTACCATCCTCAGAAATTGCAGCCCAAATAAATGCTTCACAGAGTTCAAGTAACAGACACATCTCAACATCAACTGTTCAAAGGAGACTGGCTGAATCAGGCCTTCATGGTCAAATTGCTGCAAATAAACCACTACTAAAGGACACCAATAATAAGAAGAGACTTGCTTTGGCCAAGAAACACAAACAATGGACATTAGACCGGTGGAAATCTGTCCTTTGGTTCCAACCATTCTGCAGCGATACACCATCCCATCTGGTTTGGGCTTAGTGGGACTATCATTTGTTTTTCAACAGGACAATGACCCAACACACCTCCAGGCTGTGTACGGGCTATTTTACCAAGAAGGAGAGTGATGGAGTGCTGCATCAGATGATCTGGCCTCCACAATCACCCGACCTCTAACCAATTGAGATGGTTTGGGATGAGTTGGACCTCAGAGTGAAGGAAAAGCAGCCAACAAGTGCTCAGCATATGTGGGAACTCCTTCGAGACGGTTGGAAAAGCATTCCAGGTGAAGCTGGTTGAGAGAATGCCAAGAGTGTGCAAAGCTGTCATCAAGGCAAAGGGTGGCTACTTTGAAGAATCTCAAATGTAAAATATATTTTGATTTGTTTAACACTTTTTTGGTTACTACATGATTCCATATGTGTTATTTCATAGTTGTGATGTCTTCACTATTATTCTACAATGTAGAAAATAGTACAAATAAAGAAAAACCCATGAATGAGTAGGTGTGTCCAAACTTTTGACTGGTACTGTATATTAACATCAGGATTTTATTGAAGCCTGTCTACCTGCTCTATTTTGTATGTTTTATGTATTTGAGGATCTGGTCCAAGTATAACTACTGTAGTTCACTGTGATCTTGGAAAGTGCACTGTGGAATCATTACAACAGTGTTTTTCCAACTTACAGTATATCGTTGTCCATTTCCAATGGAAATGTAGATGAAAACCTCTGAAAATTGGGTTTTCTAAATCCGTTTTTTTTTCATACCATTGGGGAAACTGATTATGTAGTATGCACAGTCAAACCCTTTTGCATGTTATTGTTGATTGAGTGACATTTATGGAGGCCTTGCAAGATCTTTCCTTGAAGAAATGAATTGTACCACAAAACACTAAAAAAACACATTATTGTAATTGTCGTCTTTTTATTTTATTTGTCTATTCTTTTTTTTTACTTATACAGGTAAGTCAATTAAGAAAAAATCGTATTTACAATGACGACTTGTCAACACTATTGAATCAATTATGAAATGGTCACGTCAGATTTCTAATGAACAGTTGAAGTCGGAAATGTACATACACCTAAGCCAAATACATTTAAACTCAGTTTTTCACAATTCCTGACATTTAATCCTAGTAAAAATTCCCTGTCTAAGGTCAGTTAGGATCACCACTTTATTTTAAGAATGTGAAATGTCAGAATAATAGTAGAGAGAATTATTTCTTTCAGCTTTTATTTCTTTCATCACATTCCTAGTTGGTCAGACGTTTACATACACTCAATTAGTATTTGGTAGCATTGCCTTTAAATTGTTTAACTTGGGTCAAACGTTTCCGGTAGCCTTCCACAAGCTTCCCACAATAAGTTGGGTGAATTTTGGCCCATTCCTCCTGACAGAGCTGGTGTAACTGAGTCAGGTTTGTAGGCCTCCTTGCTCGCACACGCTTTTTCAGTTCTGCCCACACATTTTCTATAGGATTGAGGTCAGGGCTTTGTGAAAGCCACTCCAGTACCTTGACTTTGTTGTCCTTAAGCCATTTTGCCACAACTTTGGAAGTATGCTTGGGGTCAATGTCAATTTGGAAGACCTATTTGCGACCAAGCTTTAACTTCCTGACTGATGTCTTGAGATGTTGCTTCAATATATCCACATCTATTTTGTGAAGTGCACCAGTCCCTCCTGCAGCAAAGCACCCCCACAGCATGATGCTGCCACCTCCGTGCTTCACGGTTGGGATGGTGTTCTTCAGCTTGCAAGCTATCCCCGTAGTTAAATTTTTGTTTCATCAGACCAGAGGACATTTCTCCAAAAAGTAAGATCTTTGTCCCCATTTGCAGTTGCAAACCGTAGTCTGGCTTTTTTATGGCGGTTTTGGAGCAGTGGCTTCTTCCTTGCTCAGCGGCCTTTCAGGTTATGTCGATATAGGACTCATTTTTACTGTGGATATAGATACTTTTGTACCAGTTTACTCCAGCATCTTCACAAGGTCCTTTGCTGTTGTTCTGGGATTGATTTGCACTTTTCGCACCAAAGTACGTTCATCTCTAGGAGACAGAACGTGTCTCCTTCCTGAGTGGTATGACGGCTGCGTGGTCCCATGGTGTTTATACTTGCGTAATATTGTTTGTACAGATGAACGTGGTACCTTCAGGCGTTTGGATTTTGCTCCCAATGATTAACCAGACTTGTGGAGGTCTACAGTTCTTTTCTGAGGTCTTTGCTGATTTCTTTTGATTTTCCCATGATGTCAAGCAAAGAGGCACTGAGTTTGAAGGTAGGCCTTGAAATACATCCACAGGTACACCTCCAATTGACTCAAATAATGTCAATTAGCCTATCAGAAGCTTCTAAAGCCATGACATCATTTTCTGGAATTTTCCAAGCTGTTTAAAGGCACAGTCAACTTAGTGTATGTAAACTTCTGACCCACTGGAATTGTGATACAGTGAATTATAAGTGAAATAATCTGTCTGTAAACAACTGTTGGAAAAATTACTTGTGTCATGCACAAAGTAGATGTCCTAACCGACTTGCCAAAACTATAGTTTGTTAACAAGACATTTGTTCAGTGGTTGAAAAACAAGTTTTAATGACTCCAACCGAAGTGTATGTAAACTTCCGACTTCAACTGTGTATGTCCAAACCTACCACTGGAATTAAACATGCCAAAATGTACTGAGGAAAACATTGCTCAAACATTTTATAGTCTAACAGTCAGAAACACTTGTTGAATAAGTAAGATTGCTCATGATTAATCTTGACATTGCTAAGGGGTGACGCATTTATTAATAATCATGCCTCATTTGATATCCTGGTGAAAATTGCCTTGGAAACTAAAGACCGCATCTCTCCACAGCATCTTATCTATCGTCTATGATTTACCATCTTACCATCTTGTACCAGTATTTATTGGTGTTGTACAAGTTTCATCAGAAAATATTTTAACAACAGCAGAGGAAAGGCAAAACGGAGAATGTAGCACAAAGTGACCTCTTGAAATTTAGTTGAATGGCCTCAGCCTTACAGTAGTAGGTTTTGTGCGCTTGTGCAGTGTACATATTTGAATCTGGCCCAGAGACTTGCAAAGCTATTTTTTTGGTACATCCATCACTCCATAATGAGTTTTGCTGTTGTCATGTAGTTTTCTGTACATTAACGCAACCATATCAACATCTCACATTGTCACCTTAGCTTTGTGTAGTGCCTTTACCCATAGCTCACGTTGAACAGAAAATACAAGCTATTATTATCAGACACTATTTCATGTGCCATAAGCACTGTCCTGTTATGGTGTGTGCAAGAAAACACTTCTCATAGGTGTTATTGCCAAATAACTTAGCCTTCAACAGAAATTGATTTTCTGTTTGAAATGACACAAATTCCCCAACATGATATTTCAAATGCTAATCTTAAAATGCGGTATGGCCCCACTTTCCATGTTGTCGATTACTGCAAAGAGCACCCTCTCCCATCATCATTTCCGTATGTCCACTGATTTTAAAAGTACGATATTCTTAAAGTTTCAGTAGAAATCCACAGTCTTTCAATTACATACAAGTGGAAAGTGCTCTTTGGAATGGCAGGAGCGTGGAACTACCAATGCTATAACTGCATTAATCAAAACTTTACTACATTTACATTTACATTTTAGTCATTTAGCAGACGTTCTTATCCAGAGCGACTTACAGTTAGTGAATGCATACACACAGTGTTCAGTTGCATGAGTGCAATGCAGGCAGGCATGGGGCTTACAGTGACTGAATGGGGTCAGACAACTTAACTGCCTCTTTTATGAAATGTTTAAAGGAGCTACAGTATAACAAGGAATGGTAGTTTATGTATATTATCTGTGCTTTATTTTGAGTTGCTGTGCAATTCAGGGCAAGAGTATCTATCACAATTCATTAAAAAGAAATAGAACATTGAAAAATACTGTGCAATATGCATTTTTCTTTATTCAAAAATCGGTACTATTTTTTTTACTTTATATAAATAGTGACCAAAATGTGATGGACAGACTGGTGTGCAATGTTGACGATATCAATCTGTATATTTCTTTCTATTGGCTGATTTTTTGTTATTGTCTGCTTGGGAAAATAACAATAAAGGATAGTACTTAAACAACTGTATTTATTGTAATGACTTTCTTGTGAGTGTTGATTTTATTAATTATTTCATTAAAGTGCACTCCTTAATAACCCTGCATTTATATAAGGTCATATTAATATGAATATACCTCAGGTGAATGCAGGTGATGATTGTTACTGATAAGAGGTGTTCTGCTGGTTGTAATGTCTTGTCCTGCACCAACCAGAAAAGAATGGAGTCCACCTCAACAGCCTGTTAGCCTGGTTCTTTTCAAAGTTTCTTTGTACACAATGAGGGGTTAAGCTGGGATTTTGGAGGTGGTGTAAGGGTTGACATAAGGGTTAGTAGTCTGTAACTGAAACACACAATGGTTAAAAGTGGTTAGAAGTACAAAACGTGCATGGCGTCACGGTGGGACTGTACCCTCTTGTATTTGAGGAAGACAGCCTCAATAATTACTGTGCCGATGAAATCCAAGGACTTGTGAAGTAATACAATTGTTTATTCCTCATAACAGGAATCAAATAGGCTATGTTGCATCTTCATTTTATTCTTGAGCCTTTATTTGGCCTTGCAATGTTACATACTTTGTCTGGAAGACAGCATTGGCTCATATGAGACACTGGTTACAAGTCGACCAATCCTGAATGCCCAACCACATAAAGCCAATGCAGTGCAAACATTGAAAGCCTTTTGAGACTACACATTTTCCCCTCGTTTGTTGCAAACCATAAAGATACCCACTCCTGTTAAAAAAAATCCTCGTAGGCCATTCGCGGCTCCCTAATCCCTGGCTGCAAGACCAGCTCAACAGAAATAAACAACTGAGATAAAGACCTAAAAGATCCCCTGAGGCCTAAACCTAGTGCTCAGACAGAGCATAGAGCAGCATATACAGAGTGGTACAAAAAGAAAGCTTGATGGTCCAACCCAGTAAGACAAACTGTAATTTTGTGTATGTAGAATGTCGGAAGGAAAGTAATAATGATAGTTAATGCCTCTGTGTTGCAACATGCTATGTGTTTGAAAAAGATGAGTCATGTTAGTCAGAGCTGATTCAATCATCTGGAATGATTAAATACTGTAATTGGATACTGTCTAGTTATTGCTGGATGTTGTATTGGATGTGTGTTTATCAGTCTGGTCCATTTGTGAAACTGAACAGCTGTTTTCTTCTCCTAGCTCTGACTCATTGTTGGCATGCTATCCAACTGGCAATTGGAAATGTCCCTGTCTATGGTTCAGATTCTGGTCTGATCGCTATTGTGGCCTTAACTCACCTCCCCTGCCCTCCTGGGATTACCCAATCACATGGCCGAGGTCACAAAGTAATCTTGGATATACTGTACATTGATACTAGATAACATGTAGACACATACTGTATAAGTTGTATTTTATCAGTACAGTGTGGTGATTTACTGTAAAACACTGTCAGCCTATCTAGGCACCACACTGTTACTCTGCCCTGTGGTCGAGCATATGTTTACACCAGAGGAGACTGGTGGGAGGAGCTATAGGAGGACGGACTCATTGTATATGGCTGAAATTGAATAAATGGTCAAAATGTGGTTTCCATATGTTTGATGTGTTTGACACCATTCCATTAAACTCCATTACAGTCTTTACAATGAGCCGTCCTCCTATAGCTCCTCCCACCAGCCTCCTCTGGCTTACAGCGGTGTTTATAAATGGCTCTTACCCAGGGTCCCTGTCTAATGGAAGCTGTTGTGTGACAACAAGCTCTCTGGGTACATAATCAGAGGTGGACAGGAATGGCCAGGAATTATAGGGCTAATGACTGGTCAATCCCTCCTGTCCTCCTGTAAACCATTTACTGTGTTGTTGTTGTTAATACATTTATGATGCATACATCCCTAGGCATTCTGTAGGCACCATAGAGTAGTCTGAGCATGTCATTCTGCTTTCCTTTCTCTGTGGTAATGTCTGGTGGTGAAATTGGTATGGGTTTATATAGTAATCAATGTTTTTTAATATGCAAGCATAAAAAAGTAATGTAGCTACAAAGACAGAATACATCTAGGGATTCACAAAAATAAAACATCAAAAAGTTAATATCCTAGAGTAGTAGTGCACAGGGGTTGGGGTTAGGCGTCTTTTGACCCGTAATCATCACGTGGGTTAGTGATGTCACGAGGTGGTTAATTTAATGTGGCTGTAATGTTACCAGTTCAAACTAGTTTTGGAGAAACAAAGGGGAGGGTGACAAATAAGAGCAAGCGGGCCGGGCTAGAGGTATTGGAGGACTGTAAAAAATCTCTTGTGGCTCAGAGTAAGACCTTTAACTCTCGCCAAGAAGTACGATCAAAGAAAACAAGTAAGTTATATGTGTATTTGTCCAAATGTATGGTGATAAAATGATGTTACTTTGTGTCACTCAATACAACATTGTCATTACTCACTTTTAATAGTTCAAATATATAGTCTCCAACATCGGAATCCTCTGAAGAATAACTGACGTGTCGTGTGTAATTTCTCAACTGGAGTTATTCTTCTTGGGAGGTTTAATTTGTGTGTAGGTTTCATTATTGAGTTTTCCTTTTTAGTTGTATGGTCTTTAAAATAATTTATGCACCATGTTTTGGCTTTACTGCATAGATTCATAACTTTTGCCAGTAATGAACACACAACTTTTGTCCTATACACGCGATTTGCGCAAAAAGCAAGTGGCACTGCGTATTGGCATAAACTTTCGTTAAATCAAAAACTTTTCGTTTAATTTTAAATATGAAGTCAAGGATTTGCAAGCGGTTCTGCTTAGGGCTCTGAAGAATTTGTCGACAAATTACGTTTTGTTTTAATAACTGATTTGCTTTGAGTTTAATAACTTTATAATTATGTTAGCTATTTTTTGCACTGTGTGACAACGTCCTCAGGGGTGACACATTCTAGTGTTGATGGTAGTGAAGCTACATAGTTTGAAAGTGTACTTTTACATGTCTTTGTTCATGTTAAAGTAAAGCATAACCATTTATTCCACAATCTTAATTGTGTTCATGTGCCAGAAATATTTAGCTTTCTGTTTGGGCCATTGAATGGTTTCTATGACCAGAAAACTTCACTTGAACAATAACTCTAAGTGACTCTGGATAAGAGCTTCTGCTAAATGACTAAAATTAATATACATGTACATCTCCCCCACCTCAATAATATGACCATTGAAATCGACTCTAACCTCAAGTACATGTATTCAATGCTATCCACTCCACTCAAGAGTTGTTCTCCTTTTCACCTGACCACAATTTATGGCTGCCCCGCCTGTCATTTGCTTTCTCCCCCCATATCCAAAGTAGGTGCTGTGTAAGAGGCTGTAAAATATTATTTGCAGTCAGATATAACGATCAAAGCAACATAACCTTAGAGAGATGAAATGGGGAGAAGATAGTCCTCAGTCTGTTGTTATCATTGTTTTTCCAGTTGTATTTTTGTCTCTTTTAGAAAGTTATTGGGCACGCTGGATACAGCTAGTGCCTCAGGGTTAGGTTTTAGAAAGGGAGGAGGGGTAGCATGGGGCTTCAGAGCTTGGCAGATGGACCTTGAGGCAATGGCACAGATAATCAGTGGAGAGAAACAGCTTTGAAAAGACAGAGAGAACTCTCCCTGGCTATTCAAATGCACCATTCAGCCTGATTTCAGCAGAGATGTATGGGTGCAGGGCCCCTCTACTATTCTCTCTCACTGCTCATGGGTATGATGGAGTATGTTCATTGGATATGTTAACGTGTCGTGAAATAGGAAGGAATGTGAAGTAAGTAGGCAAGGGCCACTGTCTCTTTTAGAGAATAAACCATTCTGTCATGACTGCCATGCCTCAACTAGAAGGGATATTATTTTCACATCTTTGACGGCAGGGAGGATGTTTAGCTGTTGACAATGAAGTTATAATAGATCAAGTGCACTTGCACAGTTGGTCTCTGACGGCCAGAATCCACCTATATTTTTATATTTGATCAAATAAAGCATGCGATTCAGCCATTTGTTGGCCACTAAGTGTTACTTCCTGAAGTAGGCCAGGACATTCTGTGTCTTTGTTAACTGTCTTTCTTTAGAGTGACCCTCTACCCTGCAGCGTCTCTCTGATTGGCCTTAGTGGGCATTCCATCCTTTTTTTGCGGTCAGTGGCTTTTCTGAGAAGACGAGGAATGCTGCTTTGCAGTGAAAACAAGAGTGACTTTACGCTTCATGCTTTTCAGGTTCAGTGTAGTCCTGCTTTCCGTGTGTTGTTGTTGTTGTTTTGTTGTAGAACTGATCTAGATGTGTGTTTGACAGTAACTCTAATGTTATCTATTTGATCACAGTGGTCTAGGACCATTAGATTGTTAGCAAGAGGAAGCACCATTTGAGTCAATCGAATTATGATGGTTACGGTATCTGATCCAATTTGACTATTTGGTTTGCTTTCTGCTATGCAATAAATATGATGTTTATCCCATTGTGTGATGGGTAGATGGTGGTAGTTGGGTGGGTGGGGGGGTTTGAATAGTGGGTGATGTTTCATAATGACATGTTTATGGTTGGGAAAGGATGATCTCTTATACACCCATACCTAACTATTCTAACATTCTCGTTACAGCTGCATTACTGATGGATAAAGATTACTGGCACGGATAAAAATAGCAATGTTTGTAGGCATATTAAGCTAATTATTGGGCATGCTAGCTCTAGTAAGCTGTGGTATTTTAAGATGACCTTTCTCCCAATATGCTAAGTTCACATTCAGATGTGTGGAAATGTATGCACTCACTAACTGTAAGTCGCTCTGGATAAGAGCGTCTGCTAAATGACTAAAATGTTTTTTTAATTGAACAAAGACTCTGCATGGGATATCTGTCTAGTGGCCCTTTAGAATGGAGTGAAAGGAGACCAGGAAAAGGCTCTGTTTTGATACAGGGAGTCTGCATTAGCAAAGAACAATAAAAGATTTTGAGGGCGCTCTGGGCCTCACCCTTGGCAAGGCTCAGTGTGTTAGACGAGGCCTGCTGTGTGTTGTTTCATCAAAGACAAAAGTGTTGCCTGGAGTAGCCCCTCGACATTTATGACCAGGGGAAGAATGTCATTGGAACTGCTAGCTGGTGCAGAAAAAAGAGCCAGCTTTTTCTTGAAAATGGGACTCTATCATTTTTGAACAGTGATACAAAAAGATAGAGATTCAGTGAGTGGTGGTAGTTGAAAATGGAGAGTGTCCAGATATTTGTGGTTGCTTGGAGTGTTTAGTTATGCTCACTGGCCACTGACGCTTAATTACTTTTTTGAGGACAGAAGACAGATTTACTGGGTCAACAGAATATTTTATCAACTGGCTTGAAGAGGAGCAGTAAGCGTATGTGCCAGAGGCCCGGCCGGCCTGGCCTGGTGTAGCCATCACTTTCATTCGCAGTCCTTTTGATGAGCAGTCAAATAAAGAACTAACACTTTCAGAAGCCAATTGTAAAGTTGCCTGATAAAATGATCGTGCCTTGGTAGATTCTCAGGTAGACCAGCTGCCCTTCAGTAGTGAGTGGATGGCTGCCACTTATGGCATTCTGCCTCACACAGTACGAGGCTATAGTTCAGAGAGGTGATAACCTCAAATGGATTGGACTTTTTCAGTGAGTTGTTGATTCATCAGCTGTGGCTGACCTTTCTATCCAGGACTGCCCGCAGGCAGGGAAAGTTCAATGTGAGCATACAGCAATGTGAGTGGATGTGGCTGCCATCTCTGCTTAGCTTCTGGACATATTGGCTCAGGCACAAACCAATAAAACAAATGTTGCTGTTAGATGAGTTTGCGTGGGCGACGGGCATTTCACAAGGGTGCTGTTCATCAGAGACTTCCCAGCAAACCGGGAACATTCACAGAACATTATCTAAGATTCCTGGGGTTGGTGTGTGCTGAGGAAAGGCTCATAAAGGAGTAATAAAGGCCTAGTTCACAAATGTAGTTGAAAATCTATTTATATAAATTTTTAGATATATATTTTTTATTTACATTTATCAGGGGGTGCTGCAGCATCCCTGCTTCCTGTGGCTATGTCCTTGGAATGTTCTCCCAACATTCACAAACATTTTCTTTACAACATCTGTAAAAACTAGCACAGAACATTCCCCTAAGGTTCTCATTAGGTTGCCAGGGAATGTAATAACACAATGTTCCGGTAATGTTCTTAGAACATACTGCCACAACAAAATGTGGGAACAATAGAACTGGTTCTGAGGAAACATTACAGGAACGTTCTACTAATGTTGATGGATATGTTATTCAAAACACCCATAACAACAAGCAGGGAATATTCCTACAATGGTCTCAAAAAGTTATAGTGTGACATTATGAAATGATGGTTCTAATAACGTTCCCTGAAAATACTTAAGCAATAAAATGTTGGAGCAATAGAAGTTGTTCTTAGAAAACATTCCTGGAATATTCAGCTAATGTTGATGGAGATATTACTACTAACACCTATAACAACAAACAAGAAACATTCCTGCGGGACTCTATTCTGTAAGGTTATGACATGATGATCCAGAATTGTTCTAAAAAACATACTTCAACAATAATGCTAATATTGATGTGTAATGTAACATTATTATACTGTATGAAGTTGCCAAACTTTTAAACAAATGGCATTCCTATCTTCTTACATCATTATATTTTTTTAGGGTATTGTCCAAACAAAGCTATAGCTTTTTTCAAGAATGGTAATGAAGTAGATTTGAACCTGCGATCTGCCATCTTCAAGCCCTGTAGGCTACTTAGTTTGCTGCACCACCAGGATCTTAATATTTCTAGTGGATCCTTAAATTATGATCCAAACTATGGCTACAGTATATGTCTTAGTACATATGCACATCTATGTACACCGCTCCGCAATCTGCCAGGAAATAATTGAACAAGAATTCTGAAATCAAGTTTGCCCCTCCTGTAGCTCAGTTGGTAGAGCATGGCGCTTGCAACGCCAGGGTTGTGGGTTCGATTCCCACGGGGGGCCAGTATGAAAATGTATGCACTCACTAACTGTAAGTCGCTCTGGATAAGAGCGTCTGCTAAATGACTAAATGTAAAATGGAGGGAAAATGAAAGTAAAAACGTCCCAACTATACAGCATATAAAGATAATTGGTAGAGAAATAAATAATAGAGGATACTTATTTTTCTAGATTTTGTTATCCTATCTTTTGCAAAGATAAAGACCACAACCTGGAAGTCAGAGTAAAGGTGTAAACAGCTTTATATTTGTGTTAGTCACATCCCAGTGGCGCAGTGGATTAATTCCAAGGATAACACTCCAAAGCCCAGGTTTGATCCCTGCTTGCAACTATCAACCAAATACGGTAGAATCAAATCCAAATAATTGCCATATGTGTTTCTACATGGATTGTTGTACAAATAACACTAACACATGAAAGAAACCTCTATCGACTGTTCAATACTTAATTTGATGACATTGAGGGAATGTTTTGTGCACCCTGATACAAACATTGTAAGAATGTCATCAAAACTGGACAGATTTTGTGTTTTGGGAACCTATCTTATCATATCCCCACAATGTTCCCATAACCTAAATACATATTTTAGGAACTATTAAAGAACATAAAAATGTGTTTTGGGAACGTTCTTGCAATATCAGTTGAATGTTTTTTCAACCTAATAGAAACATTGTAATTATCAGCACAACTGGACAGTTTATATGTTTTGGGAACATATTTCTTGCCATGTCCCCACAATGTTACCACAACCTAAAGAAATGTGTTTGGAACTTTTAAAGAACATAAAAAATGTGTTCTGGGAACGTTCGCGTAACATCAGGTGAAGGTTTTTTGCATTCTAAAATAAACATTGCATAATCATCCGCACAACTGGACAGTTTTTGTGTTTTAGGAACAGATCTTTTGTCATGTCCCCACAATGTTCCCACCAGACTGTTCCCACAATCTAATGAAACATTATGGGAACCTTTAAAGAACAGACAAATGTGTTCTGGGAACATTCTTGCAACATCAAGCAAATGTTTTATGCAAACATTGTATAATCATCAGCACAACTTGACATATGTTGTATGATGAGAACATTTGCCGCAACCTAACAAATGTTCTGGGAACTTTCACAGAACCAATTTTGGTTTGCTGGGTTGGCATCTTAGTTTGTGTTGTAGGAAGATTCATTGTAACATCCACATGACATATCGTGAACAGCCCAGAATGTGACATCTTAGTTTCCTGCTGCTGTGTGATCTCAATTCTTTGTTCTCGATGCCTTCAGTGTTTGTGTTCCACTAGGACACTAGTAGGATTTGTGCATTTTGCCAGTCGTTAATGAGGGGGTCCTAATTAATCATAACCAATAATCAGGCTATGGCACAGAAAACACATCTTGTGCCTTGAATGTTGATTGTATGTCACAGAAATAAACGTCATAATATTCCAAGCACTTCTTTGCATAGCGAGAAGCAATGTTTCTGTTTTTATTACCCTGGGAAGCAGATTGATTGAATAGGGCCGCTAATCTTTTGAAGGGAAAGCATTAAATACTTTTAGATTCCCACCACAAAATCAAGGATTTGGTATTATAGGCAACCTTGTTTTGAAGTCAGATTCCTGGAATGAAAAGAGTTACTCTTTGTGGGTGTTCTTCAAACTAATACAAGACCTGTCTGTCCCGGCACATCTCGGAGCTCTTCTAACCCAGACAGAGGCATGCAGTTCCCCTGTGTCCCCCAGAAGAATGGCTTCAAACCAAGCCTCTTCCATCGCGCTCTCCCTGTCAGGGCGGCCCCTATCACCTCCCAGCAGGTGGGTTAGCCTTCACCATGGTGATCTGGTGCTGCCTTCCATTCCCTGCTGCTAGCACTGGGGACTGTTGGCAGAAAGAATAGACATTAACTCAATTAAGTCAGAGAATAAATAGAAATTCAGAACTTGAGATATGCCTTATAGACAACCAGACATTTCAGAAATGGAGGGCTATTACTTTATCTATGAGTTACTGCCCTCTTCTTTCGAACTAGACTCTTAAAGCTGAAATCTGTAAAGGGGGAAACAGTGCCACTGTTCGCCCCAGCGCCTTTGTTTTTAGGGGTTTAGCAGAAACTTACCTCAAACAACATGACCAGCCTAGCAAATCTGTAAAGTATGGCTACATTGTGGCACTATTGGACAGGAAAAAACATTAATGCAAGCTCATTGGCTCATAGCGGCCATATTGTTTCAGCTAGTCTTGCATCCATAGATGCTATATACCAAATTTGGTCCCGATCGGTCCAGCGGTTCTGGAGTAGAAGATGTAAAAATGATCCAAAATACATCAAAAGCATATTGTATTGCATGATCAGTTTCATTTTGAGTTCTGATATTTGGCAATCATGGTAAACAGTACCGAAGTAACTTGTCCTAGGGCTATGTGTCCAATTTTTTCCTGATGGTGGCACAGTGGGCCCATTGCTGAACCCCACCATGCAATGACCATTATACATAAAGATGGGAAGCGCCATTGTGACAATAAGATGACATGAGTTGTGTTCAATGTGTCATCAACATGAACAGGATAGATTTATGTTTTCAAACAAAATGAAATGTTGTATTTTGTTTGGTGTTCATGTTGGAAAATGTGTTGTTTTGTGTAAGGGGAAGTGAAAGAGTGGAGTGGGCTAGCTCATGACCCATTGATCCGCATTGCTGGTTGTGTGTGCCTCAAAGTTTGTCTGATTGACCCTAAATTGAGTCATGAGAGCATAGGAAAAAAATCTATACAATCTTTCAGCCGTCTCACATATATTTTCCCAGTTCTCACTCTCACAGGCTCGAGTGTCAAGCTTTAAAACTGTTTAATGTAATGAGTTTTGTACAACATGATGTGTTTTGCTCTTTGACCATAATTCCTTATTCACCTTTTACCTCTAAAGTAGAGTTGTAATGTGCAGACTCCTCATGAACGGACATGTGAATTAGTTTGATATAGCTGGCAATTATCAATATTTGACCTTGATCGTGATCTTTCAACTCTCATCTCGATTATAGATACACACCAGAGGAACATCAGATTGACCTTTGGAACAGCAGATGTCACCTCAAATGACACACAATATGCCCTACAGAATGGTAACATTATTTCTAGTGCCACAATTGTAATGGAATGTTTTTTTTTTCTTTTCCCTCTTTTTTTAATTTTCTCTCCAGTATGCGGGGTTTGTTCTCAACAGTCGTGGTGCTTCTGGTGGCCTTGATGATAGTCACCACTGAAGCAGGCAAAAATAAGAAAGGTAAGGGATTTGCTATGTATTGCTTTAATTTGCCGTGCACAGTTTTAGAATTAGCATAGCAGTTGCACCTTTCATGAGGTTCATAAAGCCTCAGTTGGAAACCTGTCCTTACTAATTGTAATATTGCTGATATTATTTATGTCGGTATATATTTTTTCATAATTGCAACTTGATATTTTTGTTTCACAGAGAAGGGGAAAGGGGCCAAGGGTGGTGCCTCTGACTGTGCTGAATGGCGCTATGGTAGCTGTGTGCCTAACAGCGGAGACTGTGGAGTCGGTGTCAGAGAGGGTACCTGCAACGACCAGATGAGGAAACTGAAATGCAAAGTACCTTGCAACTGGAAGAAGGAGTTCGGCGGTAGGAATTAGACATTGATATAAGATTCCATTTCCCTTGATATACCTTATAATTTCTCAAAGTGTAAAGTGGTGGTCAGTCAATCAGAAATATAGCAAACATGTAATTCATAGGTTACTACATAATTATAATTTTATCATGTCATTTCTTAGTAAATACCTAGTAATTTACATAACCACAAAAAACGACAGAACTATTTATTTAGAATCAATTATGTTCAGACTGTTTTATGATAGACTGACGACTCACACTAAATTATTCCGCTGCTCTGTCGTTCACAACATACTTTAGTCTGAGACGGCCATCATTGAAGTTGTTTGTGGTGACGAGGGGCACGAGGGGCGTTGTGCAAAGCAAAGTCATCAGCGATTGGATCGTCTCTAACCAATAAGAGTATCAAAGCCAATTACGTTTTTTCAAACCGCTGCTTTACCCACGTGTGTTCTGGCTCTGGCCCAACCCATCGGTTTTTGGACCAATCAGACGGCACGAATGTGTTCGCATTCGGTGAAGGGTCGGGGAGGTACTCAGATCCAGACTCATTGCGGGGAAGAAACGAACGTACGTGGGCGTGGCGTAGCGTTTGGCCGGAGCAAGGAGTCTGGGTAGCCATGCAAGCTCTATGGTGGTGTGTTCCATACTCAACTGTTTTCCCTTCTGACCTGTGCCGTTTCAGCTGACTGCAAGTATAAGTTTGGCAGCTGGGGGGAGTGTGACACAGCTACTGGATCCAAGAACCGGTCTGGAACCCTGAAAAAGGCCCTGTACAACGCAGAGTGCCAACCCACCATCAAGGTGTCTAAGCCATGCCCCTCAAAGACCAAGACCAAGGCCAAAGGTAATGTAAGAAGTAGAAATGTAAGTAATGTAATAAAGTAAAATTCCTATCCACAAATGAGTATGTCATATTGAGCAAGGAATCTATGATGAATTGACCCTATTGTTTGATCATTTTTTATTGTCTTCCTACAGGAAAGAAGGGAAGGGGGAAGGAGAACTAAAAGGTCCACATTGAACAAGTGATTGGTTTGATTTTATTACGCAATATCCTTTGCTTTTTCAACAAACATAATATGCACAAGTGAATTATGAGATGTCAAGTGGGCCTTTCCTTCAAATACAGTATAACAAATGCTAAACGTCTCTGAATATTGACCAAATATCCCACAAACACCATTTTTTTTCACATATTTCCAGGTGTCGGTGGCCTGGCAATTTGGCCTGCTTGTGTTCTGATAATTCCATAGTGTTAGTAGGTTCCAGTTCTGGACATGCTGTATTATGCAAGATATGCAAGAAACAGATACTTTGACCTCACCTGTGTTCTAGATCTACCTAAACCTTGTGATGTACAACATTTTCCAGAGTTTGTTGTATTTTTTGTATGCTCTCAGTTCCTTTACATTAGTTCAACTTGAGTCAAGGCAAAGCTCCTTGTTTGAGATTATTTCTTAACCAGTAGATCGTTTGATATACTTGAGTTTTTTTAATTAAAAATGTTCATCTTACATTGTTGTGATTGTTATAGTTTTCTCTTGACTACCAATTAGTATTACTAACATAATTGATGAGTGGATTTCAATTGTGTGTGCCAATTAGTAAAAGTACAGAGATGCAAATCAACTATTTTTCTAGTAAACTGAGGACTGTCAGCTCAACGTTTTTCATGTACAATACAAAGCTGAGCTTGAATGCTCAAGAGAATGCAGTCATTGTCTTTGTAAAGATAATAGTGGTATTGTTAAAACAATTAGTTTTATAATATATACTTCAAAAGGTGTCTGGCGATTTTGAGTGAACTGCTGTGTTCATATTTTTGCAAACACACATACACACACCTTCACACAGTTCATCTGTACTCTCATTTTTATAATTACTGTCATTATTATTCCACAAACCCTTGGAACAGAAAAGAATCAACCACTTTAAATAAACTCTCAGAATTTTGACTATTGGTTGTTTCGTGTTTCTTCTTAGTAAAGATTTGTTAAGTCTCTGCTTTTGTTGAAATATAGAGTGGCAATTGAACTTACTACATTCATGCAATTAAAGAGAGACCATATAAATAAATAAAAAACATATTTGGTTGAAATGTCCTACGTGGCATCGATATGTGTCAGAAATATTTATTCTAGTTTCAAAATGTACTACAAAGTGTAAATATTATAATTTTGGTCATAAAGTCAGTCTCGTCCAAAACTGAGATTTGCGAGATTATTATGAAAAAAGGGTATGTCACGGCATGAAGGGTACGTAACCATTTTCCTTCGGTTGGGTTTATTTAATTCCTGCCCACATGCCCACAGCTGGCAGCACCCAAGTAGTGCCCAGCACACACCATTTGGTTTGACTTTGGATACCTATGGGGCTAGTTAGGGACCATCAGTAAATTACACAATGTACACTACCGGTCAAATGTTTTAGAACACCTACTCATTCAAGTTTTTCTTTATTTGTACTCTTTTATACATTGTAGAATAACAGTGAAGACATCAAAACTATGAAATAACACATATGGAATCATGTAGAAACCAAAAAAGTGTTAAACAAATCAAAATATATTTTATATTTGAGATTCTTCAAATAGCCACCCTTTGCCTTGATGACAGCTTTGCACACTCTTGGCATTCTCTCAACCAGCTTAATGAGGTAGTCACATGGAATGCATTTCAATTAACAGGTGTGCCTTCTTAAAAGTTAATCTGTGGAATTTCTTTCCTTCTTAATGCGTTTGAGCCAATCAGTTGTGTTGTGACAAGGTAGGGGGGGTATACAGAAGATAGCCCTATTTAGTGAAAGACCAAGTCCATATTATGGCAAGAACAGCTCAAATAAGCAAAGAGAAACGACAGTCCATCATTACTTTAAGACATGAAGGTCAGTCAATCCGGAACATTTCAATAACTTTTGCAGTCGCAAAAACCATCAAGCGCTATGATGAAACTGGCTCTCATGAGGACCGCCACAGGAATGGAAGACCCAGAGTTACCTCTGCTGCAGAGGATAAGTTCATTAGAGTTACCAGCCTCAGAAATTGCAGCCCAAATAAATTATTCACAGAGTTCAAGTAACAGACACATCAACTGTTCAGAGGAGACTGTGTGAATCAGGCCTTCATGGTCAAATTACATTTTAGTCATTTAGCAGTTAGTGAGTGCATACATTTTTCATACTGGCCCCCCGTGGGAATCGAACCCACAACCTTGGCGTTGCAAGCGCAATGCTCTACCAACTGAGCTACAATTGCCGCAAAGAAACCACTACTAAAAGACACCAATGAGAAGAAGAGACACGAGCAATGGACATTAGACCGGTGGAAATTTGTCCTTTGGTCTGGAGTCCAAATTGGAGATTTTTGGTTCCAACCGCTGTGTCTTTGTGAGACGCGGTGTGGGAGAACGGATGATCTCCGCATGTGTGTTTCCCACCGTAAAGCATGGAGGAGGAGGTGTTATGGTGTGGGGTGCTTTGCTGGTGACACTGTCTGTGATTTATTTAGAATTCAAGGCACACTTAACCATCATGGCTACCACAGCATTCTGCAGCGATACGCCATCCCATCTGGTTTGGGCTTAGTGGGACTATTATTTATTTTTCAACAGTACAATGACCCAACACATCTCCAAGTTGTGTAAGGGCTATTTTACCAAGAAGGAGAGCGATGGAGTGCTGCATCTGTCACGATCGTTGACGGACGGGACGGACCAAGGCGCAGCGTGATATGCATACATGTTTATTATACCGAATAAACACAATGACAAAACAACAAACTAAACGAAACGTGAAGTCCAAGGTACACAAACAACATACCTCACACGGAACAAGATCCCACAACTCAATAGTGCCAATAGGCTGCCCAAGTATGGTCCCCAATCAGAGACAACGAGCGACAGCTGCCTCTGATTGGGTAACCACACCGGCCAACATAGAAATACCCATACTAGAACCTATAACATAGAACAACACAACATAGAATATACACACCCTGACTCAACATATAAGCGTCCCCTGAGTCAGGGCGTGACAGTACCCCCCCCCCACCCAAAGGTGCGGACTCCGACCGCACAACATAAACATAACAGGGTAGGGGCCGGGTGGGCATTCCGCCTCGGAGGCGGATCCGGCTCAGGGCGTGACGACCTCTCACTCTTCGCCTCCCTGTTGCGCCCCTGGTCTGGTCTAGACCTCGGCGCGTTGCTTCCCCTCTCCTTCCTCCCACTATACCCCAAGCCCTGTCTGGACCCTGGTGTGGGAGACCCCGAACCTGGAGAGGGGCTGACGTCTGGGTCTTGACCGGGCACCGGTGGAGCGGACTAATCAGGCTCCGGACTGGAGCCGCTGACCGGAGCTGGACTAGGCACCGGTGGAGCGGACTGCTCTGGCTCCGGAGTGGAGCCGCTGACCGGATCTGGACTTGACCCCGGTGGAGCGGACTGCTCTGGCTCCGGAGTGGAGCAGCTGACCGGAGCTGGATCAGGCACCGGTGGAGCGGACTGCTCTGGCTCCGGAGTGGAGCCGCTGACCGGAGCTGGACTGGACCCCGGTGAAGCGGATTGCTCTGGATCCGGAGTGGAGCAGCTGACCGGAGCTGAACTGGGCACCGGTAGAGCGGACTGCTCTGGCTCCGGAGTAGAGCAGCTGACCGGTGCCGAACCAGGCACCGGTGGAACAGGCACGGGCCGTGCCGGACTGGACACATGCACCACTGGCTTGGTGCGAGGAGCAGGAACAGGCCGGACCGGGCTGGCGACGCGCACCACTGGCTTGGTGCGAGGGGCAGGAACAGGCCGGACCGGGCTGGCGACGCGCACCACTGGCTTGGTGCGAGGGGCAGGAACAGGCCGGGCCGGGCTGGCGACGCGCACCACTGGCTTGGTGCGAGGGACAGGAACAGGCCGGACCGGGCTGGCGACGCGCACCACTGGCTTGGTGCGAGGGACAGGAACAGGCCGGGCCGGGCTGGCGACGCGCACCACTGGCTTGGTGCGAGGGCCAGGAACAGGCCGTGCTGGCGATGCGCATCACTGGCTTGGTGCGAGGGGCAGGAACAGGCCGGACCGGGCTGGCGACGCGCACCACTGGCTTGGTGCGAGGGACAGGAACGGGCCGGACCGGACTGGCGACACGCACCACTTGCTTGGTGTGAGGAGCGGGACTGGGTTCCTTTATTAACCCCCGCTCCTTCTGCTGCCTAACCAGCTCCTCTCGCCGTGCCTCTACACTTTCCTTCTCCCTTTTAGCCTCCTGTAGCCTCGTCATCCACCCCGTGTGGCCCCCCAAAAATTTTTTCTTGGGGTTGCCTCTCAGGTCTCCGTCGTCGGCACGGTTGGCGCCGTTTCTCCTCTCCTGCCTGGGCATCTACCTTCGCCCATGGCCCTTTCCCCGCAAATATCTCCTCCCATGACCACCATTTGCCCACCTGTGACATGGCTATTCGCTCCTCCTGGGCACGCTGCTTGGTTCTTGTTTGGTGGGATCTTCTGTCACGATCGTTGACGGACGGGACGGACCAAGGTGCAGCGTGATATGCACACATGTTTATTATACAGAATAAACACAATGACAAAACAACAAACTAAACGAAACGTGAAGTCCAAGGTACACAAACAACATACCTCACACAGAACAAGATCCCACAACTCAATAGTGCCAATAGGCTGTCTAAGTATGGTCCCCAATCAGAGACAGCGAGTGACAGCTGCCTCTGATTGGGAACCACACCGGCCAACATAGAAATACCCATACTAGAACCTATAACATAGAACAACACAACATAGAATATACACACCCTGACTCAACATATAAGCGTCCCCTGAGTCAGGGCGTGACAGCATCAGATGACCTGGCCTCCACAATCCCCCGACCTCAACCAAATTGAGATGGTTTGTGATGTGTCGGACCGCAGAGTGAAGGAAAAGCAGCCAACAAGTGCTCAGCATATGTGGGAACTCCTTCAAGACAATTGGAAAGGTCAGGTGAAGCTGGTTGAGAGAATGCCAAGAGTGCGCATATATTTTTGGATTTTTGGTTACTACATGATTCCATATGTGTTATATTATTATTCTACAATGTAGAAAACATTAAAAATAAAGAAAAACCCTTGAATGAGTAGGTGTTCTAAAACTTTTGACCGGTAGTGTACATACATGGGACAATATTTTTAAATGTCAATAGCTCCAAATATCAATGACATAAAAACCTCAAACAATCTATAAATTGTAGAAATTCATATACAAATATTGAAAAGATTTAATGAGAACTAAAAGGTGTGCAACATTAAAATTAAAATATTTTCCCATTTACATTGTGTAATATATTGGCGGTTCCTAACTAGCCCCACAGATAGACTATCCAAAGTCAAACCAACTTTGCCACAGTCACACACCGTCTGGCTGAAGCTGATTGGCGAAAGAAGTTGGCTAGCACTAGCTAGCCTAGGCTACTTCCAGACACAAGACCTGGTTAGACTGTTTCAAGTTATCTAGAAGGGTAAGTGACTGTGTACAGTTTTGGCAGAGTGAATGTACAAACGCCTCCCACCTGCAAACACACATAAGAGACACCACATTAAAGCATGCCTTCAAGACCTGAATCTCATTCTCAATTTCATTTCCTAATGAGGACAATTGAAACCGAGGCTAAATCAGTAAGTTCAGCCCTCCTTTCATAAGAACATTATTTCATTTCAGGACCTGTCACGTTCACTACTAAGTTAGTGTTGTAAGATCAAGTAATAAAATGTATGGCACTAGTTGAAAGATAATGATGTCAAATGTCAGGCGATGTCTCATCATTATTGCTAAAAAGAGGCATGGTTGAATGAGTAAACCAAATGACCCTTAAAACCGGGCAAACTAGTAGATTTGTTATAAAGCCCACAGGGCCTTGCTGAGTGCATGACCTGAAGTCATGGTGCCATAATTTGTGCTGATCTGTTTTGGCTCTGAGG